ACTAGAACATCCTTGAAGTTATGTTCATGAGTGCAGGCCCCTTGAGGAAGTCAGAGAATATCGTACTTGTGATATAGAAGCCAGTATGATTGAGAGGTGCCTGAGGAGAAAATTTTTTTGGGCAAGGATGTTGTGATGGTGGTACATCTGTTAAGCTGTTTAGGCTTAGAAGTGAGGGCCTCAGCACAACTGATTCACAGTCAGCTGTAAAAGGCAGCTTATGTTTTCAGGGCCGCCTTGCAGAAAGTGTTTTTGAAAAGTTTTGGAAGAAAGTGAAGAAAGCTAGAAGAAGTGTTTTGTGTAATGCTCTCTCAGGTGACTATATGCTCTGCAAAGTGTGACTGAGTCACAGGGGACAAAACCTAGTTTGATGAAGCATATACCATTTTGCCTCAAAAGTCCTTGTCAGTCAATCAGATTCTGTCTCAAAGGTGAAGGTTGGATACAAAGGATGTCCAATACACTCTCTCAGTCTGTTCTTCGTTTCTCTTTAATGTTGTTTTCCCAAGTGTATCATTGTCTATTTGAATGTTCTCAAGATATGTGCTGTTCTTGCTTTGTTGTTTTCGTGTTCCCTGTCTATTTAATGTTCTCAAGCTATGTGCTGTTCTTCATTTCCAAGTGTTTTATCAAGTGTCTATTGTCTTTTCCAATGTTCTCAAGATATGTGCTGTTCTTCGTTTCTCTTTAATGTTGTTTTCCCAAGTGTATCATTGTCTTTTCCAATGTTCTCAAGATATGTGCTGTTCTTCGTTTCTCTTTAATGTTGTTTTCCCAAGTGTATCATTGTCTTTTCCAATGTTCTCAAGATATGTGCTGTTCTTCGTTTCTCTTTAATGTTGTTTTCCCAAGTGTATCATTGTCTATTTGAATGTTCTCAAGATATGTGCTGTTCTTCGTTTCTCTTTAATGTTGTTTTCCCAAGTGTATCATTGTCTATTTGAATGTTCTCAAGATATGTGCTGTTCTTCGTTTCTCTTTAATGTTGTTTTCCCAAGTGTATCATTGTCTTTTCCAATGTTCTCAAGATATGTGCTGTTCTTCGTTTCTCTTTAATGTTGTTTTCCCAAGTGTATCATTGTCTTTTCCAATGTTCTCAAGATATGTGCTGTTCTTCGTTTCTCTTTAATGTTGTTTTCCCAAGTGTATCATTGTCTTTTCCAATGTTCTCAAGATATGTGCTGTTCTTCGTTTCTCTTTAATGTTGTTTTCCCAAGTGTATCATTGTCTATTCGAATGTTCTCAAGATATGTGCTGTTCTTCGTTTCTCTTTAATGTTGTTTTCCCCAAGTGTATCATTGTCTATTCGAATGTTCTCAAGATATGTGCTGTTCTTCGTTTCTCTTTAATGTTGTTTTCCCCAAGTGTATCATTGTCTATTCGAATGTTCTCAAGATATGTGCTGTTCTTCGTTTCTCTTTAATGTTGTTTTCCCAAGTGTATCATTGTCTTTTCCAATGTTCTCAAGATATGTGCTGTTCTTCGTTTCTCTTTAATGTTGTTTTCCCAAGTGTATCATTGTCTTTTCCAATGTTCTCAAGATATGTGCTGTTCTTCGTTTCTCTTTAATGTTGTTTTCCCAAGTGTATCATTGTCTTTTCCAATGTTCTCAAGATATGTGCTGTTCTTCGTTTCTCTTTAATGTTGTTTTTCCCAAGTGTATCATTGTCTTTTCCAATGTTCTCAAGATATGTGCTGTTCTTCGTTTCTCTTTAATGTTGTTTTCCCAAGTGTATCATTGTCTTTTCAATGTTCTCAAGATATGTGCTGTTCTTCGTTTCTCTTTAATGTTGTTTTCCCAAGTGTATCATTGTCTATTCGAATGTTCTCAAGATATGTGCTGTTCTTCGTTTCTCTTTAATGTTGTTTTCCCCAAGTGTATCATTGTCTATTCGAATGTTCTCAAGATATGTGCTGTTCTTCGTTTCTCTTTAATGTTGTTTTCCCCAAGTGTATCATTGTCTATTCGAATGTTCTCAAGATATGTGCTGTTCTTCGTTTCTCTTTAATGTTGTTTTCCCCAAGTGTATCATTGTCTATTCGAATGTTCTCAAGATATGTGCTGTTCTTCGTTTCTCTTTAATGTTGTTTCCCTAAGTGTATCATTGTCTATTCTAATGTTCTCAAGATATGTGCTGTTCTTCTTTTTCAGCAATTACTATCATTAGCATTTGCTAACATTCTGACACTGTTGTTAAAGTTAAGCATTCCTGTCTCTTTCATGTACTTATGACGTTTAGTTAAAGCCAATTTGAAACCAGGAATGAAACAGAACAATCAATTCAATATTTATACACATAAACATGATTGATACAAGTTTTAAAAAAGTTTTTACACGCCCTTATTCTAAAATGAACAAATACAGGAGAAAAAGACATTCCAAAACATTATCTGATTATTATGGACACCAGAATAATATTAAAAAACAACATCATAACTGGAAAACAAAACAAACAAACAGTGGTGTAAAATATAGTCACTATTTATCTATACATTGACTTCATGTTGTAGTTGCAAAAAAAAAAAAACATACAATGTTGTAAAACGTACCAATTATCTACATACTGACTTCAAAACTTCCAGGAATTTACATGACCGGATTTTTACCTTTTTTCACCAATAACATACATATAAACAAGTTATGTTGTATATTGCTCTTCATATATCACTGTAACCTCCTAGGACATATACAGTGGCAACGATAAATTATAGGTAAAAAAATTTTGTTTACATAATAAACATGCGTGAGGAGCTAGAAATGTTTTCAAATTACATAAATACAATGTTAAAACATGAGAAATAATAGATCTTACAATAAAATTTAGCAATATAAATAATGTTTTCATTAAAAAAAAAAACCTTCATGGAAAACATGATACCTCCCAAACATTATGAACAAACAAATTTAACACCAACAGCCTAAAATAATACATCAGATGAACGCAAAACTATATGAAAAAGTAACAGCATTGAGAAAAAAAAGAAGACAGTTAAGGACCATAAGGCCTTGTCTTAAAACTGTTATTGTCATGTTCATGCTTCTTGTATCTATTTTACTATCTGAGTGGGCTCAAGGGCCCCATTTTAAGGAGAAAACAGAACAGACTCACTGCCTTAACAATCATGTTGTACAATGCAACCAATTAAGAGTCTGCTAAAACCGCGTTTGTTGAATGTATGAAGTTCAACCCCACCAGGGCCGAACATAAGCGATAAACACCTGGTGACACAAAGTGCCACCATTCAGATGAGAATTACCCGGGCGCAAGTCCCAGAAAAACTGCTCAACCGTTAGGTTATATTAGGACCCTGACAACTGCCGGAGTGGGGCTTCAAAATTAAGGTAAATTGTGTCCCATATTGCGACGGTTTCTGAACAATTTTAACTGCATGAGCTGGGCTGTAAGGTGCAGATATTGCAGCTTGTCTGTAAACTACAATATGCTAACCATCCTTTTGAAGGCAAACATAAAAGAAGTATCTATTACATTGAGGTTGTAAACTCTTTGAGCCAGCAAGACTCCCTGATCTAACTAACAGTCAATTAGTTTCAGCAACAAAAATTAATAACATAAGAAAGGCAGACTGAGGTTTGGCAAAATAGCCAGGCACACTGTTTGAGTTTTGGCAAGCTGTTTGCTTCTGGTCAATGTTTGTGGTCGCATCCCCCCCCCCCCCCCCCCCCCCCCCCCCCTCATATGTAGACAGAAAGTATATATGTTTTATTATCCAGCTTCTGAGATGAGTGCATGGTGCGACACTTTACTTTGTGGATTTCATTTGAAATACTTTGCAACTGTGCCAAAATGATTTGTGTTGTGAACTGCAGATTCAGAAAATGGTGAGCACATTTTACCAAAGAACTGGTGATGCCGTATGCAATATGCCTTGTGCTACTGCTGATGTCTTTTAACTGCTGCTTCCAATGACGTTGAAATGCAATTCTAGTGGCAGACTGTTTACGCTGGCACTTCTGGCAGCTGACACATGCATTCAATATTTGTATATGCAATTAGCTTTGCAGAAACTGCAGTATGTTTCAATTTTTTCAACATAGGGCATTGATGGACATTCTGTGTGTTGACCCATTTGCTGTGAACATGAAACTGGCCAACTAACAAATGATTTCCTACGTATTAAAAAATTAAAACTTTTTCTAAAAGTAAAAACCTGACATAAAATATTATTGCAAAGCTTAACATAATATGAAACACTCTGATAAACATGTAACAAACAACTATAACTCAAAACATAATAGTAACTTTAAATTCTAACAAATTAATGCAATTCTTGCTTCATCTAATACTTTACTAATAAAAAATGATGCTGGATTATAAACATGATAAAAATTCTTGGTAAATGTAACTCACTAGCATCTACAATTCTTGCCAGTTCTTTACAATTCAAGCTACACTACAAAAACTAAAACTGCTACTTAACTCATTACTTAAAATATCAAATTCTTTTAAGAGAATGAGTTAAAGTAAAACCAGCTTGGTACTGAAAGTGTTAAAGGTGACAGGTTGACTTCAATGCTGTTGTTTTACGCTGTATGACTGTCTCTTTCTGAATGGTGACTGGCCACCTGCCAGGAGACTGTCACATAGAGTATGATCTCCACGGCTTTAGTGATGACCCCCTGGGGTGTAAGAAAAATTGCACTTATGATCCCAATTCAGTCTGAAAACTAACCGACAACCCTCAGAGTATGCGTTTAAATGGCTTGATCACTTCACCATGCAGACCATCATTTATACAAACACAGCTATTTAAGAAATGAACTGAATGAATCAAATCACAACAAGTAAAAATTACATATGTGAACCAAAAACAGAGGCAGACACTAGGCACATCATGGTCAAGACTGCCATGCCCCCAGCTCTGGAAGGTGCTACAAACACCAGACAGGTAGACTCAAACTTCCAGTTCACTAAACAGCCTGCGGCACCATTGAACGTTGTCTGCCTTTTGAAGGTGCTACAAACACTAGACAGGTAGACTCAAACTTCCAGTTCACTAAACAGCCTGCGGCACCATTGAACGTTGTCTGCCTTTGGATGATCATCCAACTGAAGACGCTGCTTCTCAGCTTTCTGTAGTTTCTCAGTGAATGCAATAGTGTATTCTCTGTCAAAGGCATCTGCAATGAAATGGGAGGAATAAAAACATTGGTAAAATATACAACTATTTACTAATTTAAGAATCAACATCATAGCATACCCATAAATCCCCTGTATTCTGCTTGAAATGTATTAAAGTCTATAGATGCTGACTGTTCCAGCAGCACAGTTGTTGCACACATTTTACCTTTCTCTTAAATCATGAAAAGATATCAAATCAGATGAAAAGTAGAACAAGTAGGCTACATATTATCAAAACACAAATGGCTAGACAGCCTTAAATGACTTAACCAAAGTGTCTCTGACACGAATCATACATCTATCTGGCCAGCTAAATCTCTGACACATGTGTGAAAACTGGAAATAAATATTAGCTAGAAAAATGCAGTGAATAAAGTCCGACCGCTGTGGAGGCAGAAGTGCAGGCCTTGATTTTGGAGAATTCTCTAGAAAGGGAGGCTGTCATTTACATGTTTGCGAGAACCAAGTGATGACTGTGAATCTGCAACCATGACCAGACTGCAAGAACAGCATGTTAAACTGGGTGTGGCCAGGCAAGAGCACTATGCAGGAAGCCAAAGAAGAATAAGATCTGTGCACTTATGGACTGCATATGTGCAGTGAGGATAATCTATCAACTAAATAACTAAGGGGGGGGGATAGAACCTGTGAATGGTGAGGGCTGTAACCCCTACTGTAGAAATATTAGATAGAACTGTACTGAATGTCAAGTCTCCCAGATGAACTGGAGCCCATGCAACCTTTAGCGGACCCACACGAAATTCCAAATTCACAGAACCTTATGCATGCTATCTCCTCTAAAACCACACCAGCAATGGTTAGTAAATGGCTACAATAATTACAAAGAGAAGCTGTAGTGGCAAAGTTGTTTGTGTCTGCATGCCGAGATACACAAAGGTGGGTTATTTTTGTTTTATCTGATCTAAATAGATGTGAGCTTAATTTGCTGTCTTTGAAATATCAGGTAATCGTAGTTCCAACTTCACAGCAAATAGGTTACCCCACAGTTTCTCCGTTCCTATGTCAATGAAAACCAAAGCATGACCATCACTCTACCTTGTGAGAAACACTGACACATACATACTGCAGTCTCGGCAAAGCCAACAGCATACATACGCATTAAACGTATAAGGCTGGCATCAGAAGCCTGATGTGACAATGGTATGAAAAAAGACTTTTACTTCACTTTTACTCTTTCAGTCCAAAACAATGCTTAGTGTGTGCTGGGATACCACTAAGTCACAGCAAGTGAATATTGTGTTCTCTTATACTTTCAATGTGGCCAGAAATCTGGCTATCCAAGCAGCCATATTCACTGTGTTTTGTCTCATTTTTTTCTTCCTCTCCAGCATTCCGAGCCCTTGAGGTTCACTTTTGCAGATATTGTCTGCCTCCATCCACCTTTCTGCTGGCCTTCTCCTTCCAGTTGGGTGACACCAAGTGTTTGTATGTCTGTCTGGATATTATCTCTCCATCCTGGTCTACAACCATTCAGCTCCCTTGTGTTTACAGTTTTTACCTCTCTGCCATTCACTCAATATTCCCCAGCCATTTCAGTCTATTGGCCCTCAGGATGCCAGTGATCAATGGTGATTTAAACAGCTTATAAATTACGTTGTTCTTTTCACTCTCCATTTCGTGCTGTTTGCTTCTTTGATGGGTCCAAAGATTCATTGCAAGGCTATGTTTTTGAGAATTCATAATAAGGTTTCTCTCTTTTAGTTGTTTCTGAGTCATAAAAAAGCAGCAGGCCTTTTCAATGTTTTTTATTAACTTTAACCTTTTTTTTAATTTTCATAGTTCTTTCTCACTTAATAAATTTGCAGGCAGATAGACTGTCTGGTTCTGCACCACTTGGTGGAGAGCTGACAAATGACAAGCAAGTAGTGAGTGCCCTTTGGGAGCAAACGATTGAACAAACAAACTTTATTTTCAAAGGGTAACAAACTGGGCAGATTACATTCCGCCCTTCCAAACACCCCCCTTTCATACAACAGTTGTATTTTATTAATAAAGCATGTTATGTTTATATAATAATATGCATATTATGACTACCAAGAGAAAAAACAAAAGCATGAATAATAAAATGCATATGCACACTCACGTATGCACGCCAACCTGTTTGTCCACTCACTGACCCACCCACATACACACCTACATGTGTGAAGAGTGAAGAGAGGAGGCAGAAACAGATCATGACAGTCTGAGGAGAAAGGCGCTGCGAGGAGTTACCAAGGGATCTGGTCGATGCTCAACACTAAAGGGAAAGGAAGGATGGATATACTATCAAACAGTTACTGGCGTGCAAGAGGGAGTGTCCCCAGTGCCTGATGTCGATTCTTCATTCAACATTCTCATTCGAGCATTTGTTGGCAAAGCTGCTGGTACTGAAAGAGTCAAATCTGCTAATATGTCAACAACCACAATGTCCTACCATGATCAATGTTTTCTCTACCACATGCTGCAAAGGAAAGGAACAGAATCTCCCTGTACATGCTTCTGAATCGACGCTTTCGTGATGTCATTCTGCGACGAGCACTGGCTATCTGCTTGATGCCGCTTAGCACATCATTCCGTTTGATGGATGCGATAATCTGCCACATCAAGCTGGAACACACACACACAAATAACATAAATTTTTTAAAAATTGAAGGAAAAAAAAGGGTGAAATTAGTCACAACTGTTCCTTAACATAAACAAAAGCTAACTCTTTCAGTTCTAATTAACTTGCCACTCATTTACTTTTTACTTCTTATTGCTACTGCTTTTCTAGACACTTTGTTGCCTGTGCAACTGTGATAACAACAACACACAGTATTCTAAATTTTAAACACTTTAGTCTTTTAACAATATTATTTAACCCCTCTAGATCTAAACAGTAATTTCTATAAGCAACATACAGCTTCGTAATCTAAGAGTTAAAGTGAAACTGAAAGACTGAAAGAGTTAACATCCAAAATTAAAATAATTATACTTAATAACATCCAAAATTTGGGAAAAGTTGATCATGGAAAACACAATTAACCCATTAGGCAGTTATTTTGGCTGTAACAGAAACATACAATATCATCATCATCATAATCACTGTGTTGTGCTCTTAACTGTCACACAGTCTATTTCTCCATTACGTCCATCAAGTGCAATCTTTTCCACATCATAAATGGAATCCAGCCCAGCGCCTTTTGCCTCTCTCATCAATGTTCTTTCATTTTAGGGTTTTTCGTTTCCTCAGTCCATGTTTTTCTCATTTCGCAGACTTGTGGATTCTGGTCCTAATAGGGGGGTGGGGGGTTTCAGAGGTGGACAACCAGAACTTTCTATTGGAAGTTTATAGCCGGTGACCGTGTATAAGGGAAGAAGTAGAAAACAAGAAGGAAGAGGAGGAGGGGAAGAAGAAGTAGAAATTATAACAGCTTTCGAACAATATATAAACTGGTATGGGTTTAGTACCTTAAGCAAGTAGTGTAAATGGCACATAAAGGTTGATTTCCAACTGCTGCTAACATGTGAAATGCATGGTGGTAAATTTTTTTTTTAACATCTCCCCTCTGGAACTGCAACTTGAGAGACTGATGCTCAGTTTTAAACATGAATTAAACACGAATAAATCCCAGTCATTTTGAATAGTTATACTGGGGCACACTATAGTTACAAAATAATCTGCCATTCTAAGCAGGTGATTTCTTTGACTTGAAGATTTTTTAAATAATTGTTAATGTACATCATTCTTACGTGACTGCATTACAACATTTAGCTAGATAATATATTTTCTACCTTCAATATTACATTGGTCTTCCCCATCCGTCCTCTGTGATTTCTGGTATCCACTTTATGCAGTCAGATTTGCAGACTTATGTGGTAAAACAATAACACCCACCTGGAGTTAAGGTAGCATGAGATCATGTCTTTCTCATTGGCCATGATGATAACAATATTCTGCAAAGTACCTGCTACATGGTAATGAATATTATTTTAAACAAAATCTGGATTATGATAACCATGGTGATTCTCCAGAGGGCAACTCTTAAGAGTGTACTGCCCTCCATAACAAGAAATTTATTACAAATCATGAGCATTCCAGCACTGAAACTTATATTATACATTAATGCAACAAATGTATTCATCATTTTATTATATATAGAAAAGAGGCTAAAAGTATGCTTACGGTCTAGTGAAAGTATCTGAATCAATAGTCAGTGCATCAACAATTGTTGACTTGTGTCCTGAAAAGGCAACAATTTGGAAAGATTAGTAAACAAAAAAATAAAACCACATATACATGCAAGAAACAGAACATAAGAATAATAAAAACAAGACAAGATGCAACTTCATTAAGTGTGTTAAGTACTGCCTTGTCGTGGCCAGATGGCTTGTGTGCTCTAATGAGTCTTGGAGCCATGCCGGTTGGGGAGCTTATGCCCCTGATATGTAACCCAGGTACGACAGGTCTTGAAAAGAAGGGCCAGACTAAACTAGCACCCTGGTCCCAAGTTGGTGGTAGGGCAAAGGGTTGACAACCTACCACTGTTTAAAAACAAAACAAAAAACAAAAATTATACCTTGCTACAGAAACAGGATCAAGTTAACACCTTAGGGCTAATACACATATGCTCTGTAAGCAAATGTTCTATATAAAATTGTAACTATTCATTAATGTGGCACATTGCAAGATGCATTGATCCTCATAAAAGGAATCTAGAGACAATATACAATTCCATACTATTAAATCACTTCATCACCAGATTCATGACTACCCTAGAGAACCCTTTTTACACAAGGGGTGCCTCAGGTTTATGATGCTAGATTCATATTTTCAGAGACTAATTAGCAGTAAGTAATGTGGTCATCAACATGCTGGCTGCATTTACATTCTTAATTTTCTGGGTCTATTTTGTTTTCTTCTCCTTGAAATATGGTCCCGGAACCCACATGGGGAAACTATATAATTAAAACAATCAATCCTCATCGCACCCAGAGGCACATAAGGCAGAGACAAAATGTTGCCACTCAATTCGATCCTGAGCCATCTTCTCCATCTCCAGTTTCGTCCTTCACGTAGCCTTCAGTTCAGCCCCAAATGTTTGCCTCCAAGTGACTCTGGGCCTGCCTCTTTCTCGCTGTCCTTGTGGTGTCCATTGCATTGCCTGTCTCAGGCGTTTCTTCATTCTGAGGACGTGTCCAATCCACCTCCATCCTCATTTTTTAAAAATATTTTAGAACAAAATAAAATAAACACAATTCAGAGGAAAGCAAGAGAAATGAACTGATACCTGCACGCCATGCTGTGTACATAGGTATACCAACTTCATCATGTATTCTCACATTATCCCACAGAAGTTTCACTGAGATGTTATGTCCGCCAAAGGTATGTTTGAATTTGTTGACATTCTGAAAAATAATTGATCAATTTCAACATTAGACACAGAATGACACAGTAAAGGATTCTTTTCACTTCTCTGGCGCATCAGGCAAGGTTCTGCTTCTTGTTCTTCTGGCTACTTTGACCACCGTGAACATAACGTATTGATGCAGAGTTTCTTTGAGGTTAACTTTCCATTTTGTTCTTGACCTATCTTGTGCTCTGCCGCCTTCTCCTCTTTTTGGTGAATGAGCAAGTGAAGTTCAACCCCACCAGGACTGCACAACAAGTGACTAATACCCAGTGACACAAAGTGCCAACATTCAGATGAGAACTCCACCGGGCACAAGTCCCAGAAATGCTGTTCAACCATTAGGTTATATCAGGGCCCCCGACGATAGCCGAAGTGGGGCCTTTAAATAACAACAAAACTGTGAAGGAATTGTGACCATTTTTGGTGTATGCTTTGTTTGGTGTGTATATATATATATATATATATATATATTTATATATATATATTGAGCTAGAACTATATTTTGATAGACCAATCAGCAAGTGATAGGTGATGTGGTCAACACCACATCAGTCGCCTTTACTTCCTAGGGTATCACATAGTACTAATTTTGGGCTGTGTTAACCGGGAAGCCAAAGTTAGTTTGTTTTTAAAATTCACCTCGAAGCGAATTTGAACTTCAGATGTTCAGGTTCGCAGGCGAGGCTATTTTAGTGGCTAGATGTTTGCCTCCCAGCCCAAAGGTCCTGGTTCAAATCCACACAAAAGTAGTTTTATAATTGAGCCTGGGAAATAAAGACAGTCACATTACCTACTCAGGCTAGATTGGTCTTAAAAATATTGCCCAAATGGCAAAAAAAAAGGGTACTTATTTTTACTTTTACTTATTATCTATTTGAAAGGGATAACAACAGTTTTGAAAATTTGCCATGTCCATAAAACAGAAAGTAATCTACATGGCACAATGTCTGATAATTAGAGACTATATGTTTGCAAAAATGTAACAATCACATATAAGGTTTCTTTTTCTTCTTTTCCCTGACTGTTGAGTGTCAGCCAGCCTCCTGAGTCATTCCTCGCTGAACTGCGATGGTCTAATTGTGCCTCCACACCGTTCACTTTCTCTCAAAGGGTCATGATAATATCTAGTCTGTTCATTTAGGAAAAGGATACAGAACATTATTCAAAGGTTCCAATCTGTGTTATTTGTGAGACTCAAAAGTACATCAATTCACATCCATTTGTACTACTTGTGATACTCAAAAGTACAACCATTTACATCTGACTGTACTACTTGTGATACTGAAAGGTACATGCACTCATTTACATTCATTTGTAATACTTGTGATACTTTAAGGTGCACCCATTTATAATACCTGTGATACTCAAAGGTGCACTCTTTTATGTCTATCTATAATACCTGCAAAAAACAGCAATATACTGAAATAATATGCAATATTTAAAAAACAGATTTCAAAATGCATAAAAACTGGAAATATATTTGTGGACAGCTTGAAACAGTTAGGGAGTTAGTGGCTAGATGCTAACTTACGGCTTAAAGGTAATAGGTTGGAAACTCTTGATGGAATGTAGTAAAACAAAAAAAAATGAAAGAAGAAAAATACCTTTGATCCCATGTAGACTTAACCCTACCAGACCGCTGGCCCGATTTTCCGGGAATTTTCTAACCTGACGCTATACCGCTGGCCCCATTTTTCGGGAATTTGCGTAGTACGTGAAAAGTATGCATCACAGACTAAAAATAACCAGCGAATCGCCATCAGACTTCATTGTTAGTCATTGGGAATGACTTCCCACGTGTGTTGAAATTTCTTTGTGTGGTTTGATGTGAAAAGAATTCGGAAAATTCTCAATGAAATGAGCGGCTTCGACAAGAAAGTGACGTATGTCTAGGCTTTTCAGTCCAACATGTGATCGATACTTTGGTTAATTCAGACTGTGAATACGTTCATGAAGAATGCGTTCCCAGTTGAAGTGACACAGTCAGTGAGAGCTAGAGTGAGGAGGAGAAATTATGAAAATTATAGATTTAAAACTAGATCGATAGTAAGAGTCCCTCAAACAGCAACATTTGGTGCTTACTTTGTGAAACAAGACTGATCCTACTAGGTGGATTGGCACACAAAGGTGGAAGATTGGCGCTAGATAAAAGGTAAACCTATTTTCTACAATGTCTCCAAGTTTCATCTTATTCTAACCACTTGTTTGCATGTAAGTAATATTTTTGTACATCATGTTGGTTTTTTTGTGTTAATGCCCAGGAGCTCAGGTTATAGGGACAGTTAGGTTCAGGGCCTCAGGTCTGGTAGGGTTAACCTAAAAAGGTACCAAGTAATGTCCTGGCCAATAAACGCGGCCGGCATGATGCTGATCACAACATGGTGGTGACTCCTCTATAACAATAGGAGTCTAGCTTCATTTGCCCGATTGAAAAAGAGTCCTTTACTTTTTATGATCATCATCATCATGTAGCAGGTCCTTTGCAGAACATTGCTCTCATCACGGTCTGCCTGTAAGAAACTCGGTCTCTAGCCAGCTCTTCCGCCTCATGTACTTTCATACTCAAGGAGTCACTTATATCTGTGCCCATCTTTGTGTTGGTCGGCCCCTGCTTCCTGGTACCATGCCTTCTGCTATAATTTTGGTCCAATCCGTTGTGGCTCTTGATATATGATCACAATATTTCAGCTTCCGAGATAGGATGCCGTTTATTAGCCAATCTTGTTTGATGTTCAGATCTTCCAAGATTTTTTTAATGATATACAAATAAATAACATACCTCTGGCGTATTGCAGCTCAAAGCTTTGGATGACAGCAAAAATGTGGTCAAGTGAGTGGGTACATCAATACGATGAAAGAACCAAACCTGGGAAACAACACAATGTTTTGCTAGTCAAAGTAATTAACTGAAAAGGACACAGATATAATTTTAACCATACTTTTATGGTGGAAGTCATCTTCATGTAGCAGGTCCTTAGCAAAATGTCACTCTCATCACAGCACACTCGGTCCCACCTAGTGAAATGTCACGTCCAGGGTATCCTTGATATCCTGTGCCCACTGCCGTGCTGCTCAATCTCTGCTTTTTTTTCCTAGGATCCACATCCTCCATATCAGTTCTCTTTAAACTACTACCATGTTTAATTTGACAAAAATTATTTCAGTTCTCGAGAAAAAAATAATATTACACAAGTAATGTACATAAACAACGACTGCAAAAAACTAAAACAAAAATTTTTTTTTAAACGAAAGAGATATACAAAACACTTTCCTGTTGTAAATTTAGATACTGTGGACACAAGCAATACATTGCACGGCATATTTCGCTGTATTTTGTCAGGTGAATTACTGCAGAGTTAAATCAACAAATATTGAAGAAACAACAGTAATCATTTTCGCTGAAATCCATAAACCACACTGTCAAGTTACTGTACATCTCTTCAATTGGAATGTCCAGTGGAGAGATGTACAGTAACCTGACAATGTTGTTTATGCCAATCAGCAAAAAGGATTCATTTTTGTGTTCCATTTTTGTTGATTTAACTCTGTAGTTTAGTTTAGTTTAGTCGACAGATCAACATCATGGCACACGGGAATAAACCCATAAGTGTTCCGTGCTACTTCTAACTCAGCACAGTGTAAAAACTCCATTGCACCAGCGAGGATCCTGAAATACTTTGGGTAAATTTTGAACTCTACATTTTGCCCGGGCAGCGCCGTTAGGCTATTCTTTTCGATTTCCAACTGAAGTCATTTTTTATGTGCACAAGAATACACATGGGAGTCAGGTCTTACTACCCAGAGACCAAGGAAAATTACTAAAAGTCCACGTGAAAAAATCCAAGCCTTCACAGGGGTTTGAAACCAGGACCTCCAGCACTCGAGGCGGATGCCATACCTTGAGACCATGCAGCCCCCATTAACTCTGTAGTAATGTACCTGATGAGATACAGCAAAACATGCCAAGCAATACATTGCACAATGTATTGTTTGTGTCTGCATTATATGAAAGTGATAAAGTAACTAAAAACATTCATCCATACCAAATTCCAAAATATAATGGGATGTTCTTCCACAAAGGTGTCAGTTGCCAGGCAGTCATCACCCTCATGATCAAGGACATACTCCACTTCCTTTCGTAGAACAAGGGGGCTCAAGTATGGTACCACAATTGATTCTGATGTTGATGGTAATCTAAAGAACAGAAAATACCAGACTTAACGCCTTACTATTATTATCTCTTTCAGTCCCAATCGATTTCACAGCTGAAACCTAATTTAGCACAATAACTGCAGGGAGAAAGCATCAGTATATGGCATTCAAAGACACAACATATATTGGGCTGCACAGTGAAATATTTAGCCAGATTACTTTAGTACACACAGATCAAACATGAAAGATATAACACACACACTCAAACTTAATCTAGCACAATAACTGCAGGGAGAAAGCATCAGTGTGTGGCATTCAAAGACAGTGGTGAAATGTCGCAAGCGAGTTTGGTGTGGGCACCTGGGTGAGAAATGATTCGATTGCAAAGACTGTACTTCAAGGAACATTTGGGAGTAGTCGAAGAAGAGGAGGGCAAAGAAGAACCTGGAATGACAACATCAAGAAATGGACAGAACTAAGTTATCATACACTTATTCATCAAGCAGAAGACAAAGAAAGATAGCGGTTTTTATGTACTAGTGCTTCCATCAATACACCTCCACGACAAGGGTTATGTTATGTCTAGTTATGTTATTCAAAGACACAACATTTACTGGGCTGCACAGTGAAATATTTAGTCAGATTACTTTAGTACACACAGATCAAACAGGAAAGATATAACGCACACACTGTGGTATGGTGATATACCTGCACAATTGCTGATAACACACCTAACATGCCACTGAAAGAGTTACGTCAAATGTCTGTAAGTCACAGCTAATATAATCCAGTAAACTGTAAGTATCTCTACAGATCTGTAAGATGAGGTCCGCCACAAAAATATCAATAACACGCCAGAACATTACAAACTCTGAGTGCACTAATCATTGCAGAACAGAGATATTAGACAGAAGTGACCCAGAAAGGTGGGATCGGTAGGCAGATAATAGGTTACGAAAAGGGATTTTATTAGAAAAGTTCAGATAAAAGTGTGCTGGATATTAAGGCCCTTAGGAGAGACAAAGCCCATTAGACAGAAAAGACATTTCTCAAGATACGTGAAGACTAGCAGACATGATGGCCATAACCTCCATGTCATAGACTCCTCGCTGACCCTAAGAATTAAAATGGATAAGCACTGGTTCCCAAGAATGCTCAGAATTTGCCTCTGGCTTGAGGATGTCATACACTCTGCTGGTGCTATGAAGTTCATGCACTGACTGTACCTATAGTTCATTTGCATGATCAATTCAGGGAGAGTGAGAAGGAGTGAAGAAATATTATAGTACATATTGCGCTATCTATATGCTGTAAAGGTGATCTTTTACAAAATAAATCAGTACAAATTAAACCAGCTCAAACAAACCAAACCCCATTTCAGAAAGGAATTTTGAGAAGCAAAGAAGACAGTACACTGACAGGTCATCTCAGCAGTCCTAAGGATTTTCTCTCTTTTTTTATTTGTACGTGTACTCACCCACCCACTCATCTCACACATATACACACACACATACATAAATACATATTTTTTGTTTAGTATTAAGTTACATTCTCTCTATCTCTATCTCGCAAGTGTGCGTGTGTTGCACGCGCACACACACACACACACAATCTGTACTTGGAAAAAATAATGGAGAGTAAAACCCAATCTTGTAAAATGGATATCTGAAGTTGCTGTAAGTTAGAAGTCCAGAAGTTTGAAGTTTAAACAACGGATCAACATCATGGCACACGGGCAGTAACCCATAAGTGCTCCGTTCTTCTTCTAACTCAAGTCTGAGTCCAAAGAAGCTCAGAGACCAGGGGGAATTACTAGAAGTCCAAGTTCACGTGAAAAAATCCCAGCCCTTACTAGTGATCGAACCCGGAACCTTTAGCACTTGAGGCGGAAACCATGCCTGGAGACCACGCAGCCCCAAAAGTTCAGAAAATCAATTCACTCTACTGGGGTTTATCCTGTATGGCTCACTGCCTATTATATTTCTGAAAGACCTGCACCACTTATAGAAACAATCCTGCAATATCTTCTTCAGTCTTTGTTATTAAAAGAGCAACATGTTGTGTTTTGGTTCACAGCTAGGCTGTGATAACTTACCTTTCGCCCCAATAGATTTAATTTAAACAAACCCTTAATTAGTCACTTCTTACGACAACCTTGCCAAGGAACCATTGTTCTATCTCCCTCTTCCTTAAACTGGGGCCTCGGAACCCACACCAGTGTTGCAACAACTAAAAAGGATTTCTCACCTTGCCAGAAACTCCTTGACATGGTCAGCTTCAGAGGGTGAAGATAAGGAAAGACGATGTTCTCCTTCCACCACGTGCGGTGTATGCTGGATATTAGTTTCAGTGCTTTCCCCAGTTGTGCTCGACATCAAAGCTTCAGTTGTGGTGGTTACACAGTTGTCTTTGTGAGGTCTGTGTGTGTCTTCTTCAACAGCAGTAAGCTTGCTATCTTTCACTGACTGACTCTCTACCTGTTCAGTTTCTTCGACATCTTTGGAAACTGTATCAGTATCTATCTCTATATGGCCACTTGTAGCAAGCAGTTTTTCTGTTATGGAACAGCTCTGCTCACCATTCAGCACCACTGACTCTGGATTCCCTCGCAAATCCTTAAGACATAAAGTAGATAATAAGAGGGAAAATCAAAGAATTTAGTTTCATAATTATATATAGTAACTGAGAATGAGTGCTGGGATTTTGAACTGTTAATATAAAAGAAGTATTTAATGGATTTTCATGTGTGGCATCCTAAAATGTTCACAAAAGTTTAAAGTTTGATGTGACTTTGTGTGACCATGAGGCTTAAAATGGTAGTGGGAAGATAAAGAACATCCAGAACCTTAAAGAGAGGGTTGCTGCTACAACTGCAACTGTTAATTTTGGACATGATTTAGAAAATGTGTCAGAGGACTGAGTACCATCTAGACATCCCCACAACTACAAACGTTACCCATATAAAACGTATTCAGGTAAGTCTAAAACTTTAAACTTTTCTGAAGATGCCACACAATGAAAATGTATTCAGGTAAGTCTAAAACTTTAAACTTTTCAGAAGATGTCACACATTTATTTACATTAAAATATATACTTCTTTTACAACAACAGTTTAAAATCCCAGCAATCATTCTTGATGATCCTGCACATTAGTATCAAAATAAAGACCAACTTGCATAGACTGCTAGCTGACCAAAGCAGTGGTCCCAGGTTACATTTTCTAACAAGATCTTTTTGTCAGTCAGTATGGCTAGGAGCTTGACCCAGCCTAGCCTAATGAGTACTTGACAATTTTCAGAACTGTCATGGAAAGGAAAGTGGTGAGGAAGGGAACTGATCACTTCACTTCTTTATAATGTGGCCTATAATATATGAAGGCCAGGATCAGTAAAAAGACTGATATTTTCAACAAAGTAACAAAGCATCAAATGAATGTTTGAACAAAAAATAATTATTTTTTCAGAATCCACACTAACACAAATTCTGAAAAAGAAGAATTTCTGTACACAATTGAACATTTTCTCCTGTAGACATTTAAATTTGTTTGTCAACTGTAAACTTAGAAGGAAAGTTCTGGTTGTTTGTCCATGTGTGAACTTTGGTTCTGTTCAGACTTGAGTGTTTGCATGCACATCCATTTTACGATCTGGCTTATTTATGTGTAGACTGTTAATTCCTCAACTCTTTGGCCAATGCACTCCGATTTAAAAGAAAACGTTATACTCCGGTCAAGTCACAAGTAGGAAACATGTTTTTATATGCCTAATATATCCCAATTAAAACCTCACTTCAGCTCTTTTATTCCAGAAGGTATGACAGGAGAAGCTCTAAGAAGGAGGCAAAAACTTGAAAAATAATGACTGCATTACGTTTGAAGAGTCAATTTATGCAATGGGAGTGGTTATAGAGCAAGTTAAATCTCTTTAGTATCATCTGACCAAATATAAGTATGTTGGAGACCCACTGTAGCCAACCTTTATTGTGGAGATGACACCTGCTTGACAGATTAACCATACATAATAAGTAAAAAATGTGAAGTCGGGAGACGTGAACCAGCGTCATTGCACACAGCTATAAACCATAAGTGCCGTGCCACCAGTACGGACAGTTGATAAGAAATTCTCCGCCTGTGTCACCGTCCGCACGTAACTACGTAGCCACAGCAACGTTCCTCCATTTATCCCAGAGTGTTAATTCTGGTACCCATTACCTAGAGGCTGGGTGAACCCTGGGAACCGCCCGGTTTCGAACACCAGCCATGGGTTGCGAGTCACAGCTGGATTTGAAAGTGAGTATCTTATCGACTTTGCTAACGCGGCCCCTACATACTGACATAATAAGTAAAAGAATACACAATCACCACCTCATCTCATCTTGATCCTCTTGTACCATGTGGTGTCAAGGTGAAGTATAATTGCAAGAAAGTGCCCGTTTGTGCGCTTCGTAAATGGGGATTCTCTGTCCATCGTTTGCAAGGCTGGCCTCTGCTCCGCTTCCCACCCGGTCTTTACATCACTGCCTGCTATGGTATATACTGTTTGTTGGCATCCCCATTACATGGCCAAACCATTTAACTTGTTGTTTTCTAATAAAATCCATACACATGTCATAATTGTAACACTCTGAAAGTATGCTGAGAAAGGTGAAGACAGGGATGCTTCGAGCAGAGTGGCAAGCTTCGCTGGAAAGATCACGGGTAGTGAGCATACTTTGGATCTTTGCTCCTGGTCATGCCGGCGTGGTGGGTAATGAACAGGCAGACAGATTAGCTGGATCTGTACCATTGAATTGATGCATGACAGGGCAGATGTTGTCAAGGCCCTTTGGGAACAAGTAACGGAATCAGTAGAGAAACAAGATTATGATGGCCTGGAGAGAATGAGGCACCTGGGTGTAACCAGAGGGTTTGGTCGACTCGCTACACTCAGAGGAAAGGTGAGATGGACCTATAACCAGATTGTGACCGGTACCATCAGTATTGGAACTCTACGCTGGCTGCTGAAGATGAGGATGGAGCACACATGGGAATGCCCAGAGTGCTGTAATGTCAATTCTTGACTTAACTAACAAAATCCAGTGCTGCTGTCCCCCCCCCCCCCCCCCCCCCCCCCCCCCCCCCAATTGTTTTTGATCTAATCTCCTATTATTATATTAACAGCCCTTTGTAGGAATCTAATTTCAGTTGCTGTAATTTTTCTTTTCTCTTCTTCAGTCATTGTCCAGGTCTGACACTGATAGCACAAGGTCGGCAAAAAGACAGTATCATATGGTGCTCTTCTGGTTTCTACTGCTGACCCACGTTCATCTCTCTTTACACAATAGCTGTGAATAATGAACAGCAGCCCATCACATGGTGCACTGACAATAAGTGAAAGAGTTTATATGAAAGTCAAATTAAAAATATGATGTGTGTACAAAATACTTGCCTTGATGTGAACTTGGAGATGGGGGACAAACTTTGCATGGCAATAAGGGCAACTGAAATATGTACAATAAACAAATACAAATAATTTTTCAGTTCAAACATCTGTGTCACAATAAATATAAGTTAGTTACATATCCTTGCCATGACATTGCAGAACCAACTCCAGAGTTTTTGTGTGTGGCTGTTTATGGTTTTACTAGGCAATTTTACATTCAGCAGTTTGCCACTGCTTTCTGAATGGTCGACTCTCAATACCGCTGTCAAAATCTCCCTTACCATTACCTGAACAACAAAAGAGTTACTTTCACCAACCAACAGAAGTCTGAGAGCTATGGTCGCATGGTGGCTAAGAAGAATGACTGCTGGCCCTGTGTTTGAATCCCCATCAAGGCAGTGATTTAAAAAAAAAAATATAGACTGCATTTTCAGGTTGACCCTCCTCCCTTTTCTCTCTAAACTGTGTACCAGGAAATGTGATGAATAGTAAAGGTGTATTACAACTAGGACTGTACCGAATAGTGATTTTCACTATTCGGCTGAATACGAATAGTGGGGCCAACTATTCGGACGAATACGAATAGTGCATCATCATCATCAGGTGACTTGCCGACTGGCGTGTGCGATCATGCCTCTCCACAATCTGCTATCTCCTGCAGCATGTATCAGTTTGTGTGCTGATGCACCTCCATGCCTTGCAACAAGACTGTCAAGAATCTTCTATCGTTGTCTTCCTCTATCCCTCCTTCCACAGATCTTTCCAGTGGTCACCAAATGTTCTATTTTCCCTCTTCTCATAACATGGCTGAAAAATGACGACTGTCTCCTTCTGATGTCTGTGATTAGTTGTCTTCGGGCTCCCGCCTCTTTCAAAACCATCGTTTACTCGGCTGTTCGTTCGATGTAATTTAAACGCACCTTCATATTCTCGTTAGCAATATCTTCAAATTTGATTTGGGCGAAGACACCCTGAAAAAACAAAAAATGCATGATCTCTCTCTTTCTCCCTCTCTCTCTCTCACACACACACACAGACACACACACACACTCTGCGGTTGGCATTTTATGCAGTTTATACCACGCAATCGGGTCGCAGTTTCCCCCGCTACAACAGATTAAGGCAACAGAAACTATTGTGAGAGAGTTATTTCAGTCCATCACAGTATATGCAGAAAAGGGAGTAAGGTAACCACTATAACCACTATTCGTATTCGGCCCGACCACAACTATTCGGCCGAATACCGAATAGTTATTAGGTCCACTATTCGGCCCCGAAGCGAATACGAAGTGAATATTCGTTACAGCCCTAATTACAACGGTATTACAAAAATTGAATTTAAATGAGATTCCTGCGAAGGGCCCTTTATAACAAGAAGAGATAAGATAAGAAGCTATGAAACCCAAAGGAAAGTAGGGGCAGCGGCAGCTCTGGATTTCATTAAAAAACAAAGTGAAATCAACAATGTTTCCCCGTTGTAAATTTGAACAAAGAAGACACAAACAATATAAAGGATTCACTTTTTTGCTTCATTTATGTATCTGTTATACCGACATTAGGTTATCAATGTCAGACTTGGACATTAACAAAAGAACATGAGAGAAGACTAACCACCTGTGAAATGAGATGTTTGAGAATGGCTGCGAATAAAACCAGAAGAGATCGAGTGAGAAACGATGTGATTACAAGAACTATTGGAACCATACCTATCGTTAAATTTATTGAGAAGCAAAGAATGAAATGGTTTGGTCACCTAATGAGAATGGAACCAACGATGCCAGCATCAAGAGCATACAACACGAAAATCGAAACACCAAGAGGCAGGGGAAGACCAGAAGAAGATGGATTGAAGGAGTCACGGACAACTTGAGACTTCATAACATCACGGCATATGAAGCGACTGAGCGCGCCCTGGCTCGGTTGCCGATCATTTGATAGACTGCGACGCCTAGCGGCACAAGCAAATTTTGACAAAAGAAGAAGATGTATCTGTTACTGTAGTATGCACCTGACAAGATACAGCAAAATATGTCAGGCCATAAATTGTGCAATCTATTGTCTGTGTCTTCTTTGATCAAATAAAGTGAAATGTTTTGGCCATATAACGTGAATGTCAACAAACAGTTTACCACAAAAAGCACTGATGTACAGACCAAGCAGGAGGTGAAGAAGAGGTCGACCATGCAAATTATTGACAGAGGAAATAACAGAGTCCCTGGGACTCCCCATTTACAAAGTACACAAATGGGCCCTTTCCCATAAATTATTCTTCCCCCTAAACGTTGCAGGGTAAAAGAGGATCAAGATGAGATGATGAGATGAGTAAAGGTGGTTTGCATATTACTGATCCCATCATAAATCTAGTATCAATTTTTTTATACAAATATGAGATAATACCACATACCCATCATGCATCATTCTGGGGGGAAAAGGGGGGGGGGGGGGGGGGGGGGGGGGGAAGGGTTCCTTACATAACAGGTCTCTTTAACTTCCTTTCTGACTATTAGGTTGTAAGTCAAACCAGTAGTAAGTCAGATTTATATTTTTCCACACTATTTTCATTCAAAAGGCTTTAAAAAATATATGCAAAGCACAGATAACAGGAGGCCTGGAGTTCCAAACAATATGTCATACACTGTAGGGTCAAACAGACTCTGATGTTTATATCCTGCTGCACTTTAGCTGTTAGGTCTGGAAACTTTTTGACTTTACTAATATAGTAATCTTTCTTTATTTACTAATTTTATTTATTTATTTATTGTGGTCGTAAGTGTGGATGGTCATGTCACACAGGTAAGTCAAGGAGAAGGTGTATTCACAAACCTACAAACTCTATCCTCTTTCTCACACACACTAACACATAAACACTTCACACATATACACAAAACCAGAAAATCATGACACCTTGACATACACTCTGCTTTTTAAAATCCAAGAACAGATGTGCAAATTTAAAAAAAAAGATCCCTTTTCCACACCTTTAAGCATATTGGGAATATAGGGCTAGACCAATCGGCACTTGGTGGGTGATGTGGTCAGCATCACGCCGGCCACTTTTACTTCCCATAACTGCACTTGGTACCCATTCAAGGCTGGGTTGACCTGGGAGTCAAGGTCATTTTTGAAGAAAAAAAAAAGTCCAGCTCCGTCAGGATGCGAACTCACGACCTTTCGATCCGCAGGCAGGCATCTAGCCGCCAGCGGCCCTGCAACTCCCAGATGTGCAAATTCACTATATATAACCTACCTTGTGTTGAGATTAGAATCCTCTGCTGTCCAACCAGCCATGATCTCCTCATCATAGATCAGACGGCTACATTTGGTGCATCGTGAACAAGAACTGATCTCCACCTCCATAGCCACCTGAAATGAGATATTCTGAATAAACATGTTTATGCTTGTTTATGTTTATTCGACGGATCACCATCATAGCACACAGGTTTCTACTTCTAACTCAAGCCTGAGTCTGAAGAATCTCAACACAGTGCATGAACTCCGTTGCACCGGCGAGGATCCTGAAATACTGTGGGTAGATTTTTAACTCTTAATGTTGCTCGGGCAGAGCCGTTAAGACTACTCTTTTTGATTTCCAACTGCCAAGGGATTTTTTAAGCGCACAAGAATACACAGGGTGTCCGATCTTATTACCCAGAGACCAGGGGAAATTACTAGAAGTCCATGTGAAAAAATTACCTCGAGACCATTCAGCCCTTGAATAAACATGTTTCATATTAACCAAGAAAACAATTTGGAAAATATCCATACACACACATACAGCAATTTATACAGGCCCTTTGCAAAAGGTCACTCGAATCACAACCCCACATGACAGAACTCTGATTTTAAGCTACTTCCTCTGTCTCATGCATTATAATAACCAGGTTTTTGCTAAAGTTCTATGTCCACATTCAGTCTGCTGACCACTGTCTCTTCTTCAAAGAATAATGCCTTCTATTACACTTCTTTCTAAGCCACCAGGACATTAAATACTGTCAAGATATTTCAGTTTCCAAGATAAAAGCTGTTTATGAGGTTGTTTTCTTTGACATTTAAATCCTGGGGAATGTATTTTTTATTTCTTGATCCATAGTATTCTACGACTTAATTTCCTAGTTTAGTGATTATCAACTAGTTAATAATTCATACCAATATATTACCACACATACACATACACAAAATGTACGCTCTCACAATTTGTACTCACATATTAGGTGGTGCTGTGCAAAAGGTTTTTAATGCTTCTGAACTTCAGAACTACTATAGCTAGTCTCTTTAGCACCTTGCAAAGCCATAATAGGCTTGAAATTCTGAGAAATTTCCATGTGGCCTGATCATTGACAAGCTTCAAACTGTAACATTTCCACGGACCCAGAAAATCCATCTGCCTACATTTTCTTGACATATTCCAGAAGACTGATTTCAACTTCCGGGTAATTTTCTTTCTTGCCATGAAAAGACTGTTGACTTTGGAATGTTTTTTAAAAGAACATCCTTCACTCGAATCTATCTTTGCACATTTTTCTCATCCATATCGAACTTCCTCCCACCTCAGCTTCTATTTTCTTGCCCATAATGAACTATCTGCCACTCGAATTTACAACTGTTAACTTGCTCTAATGCATACTGGAGTTTTCTCTGGTGATATACAGTTTGTCATCTGTGTTGAGATCTCCCAGTATTAGCTATGGTAGGATACCGTAGCACATATGAAGCTAGTACATATGAAGTGTGTGTTTAGGGTAAAGGTGATTCTTTACAGATGGATTTGTAATATCATTAAAAACTGAAAATTCCTAGCCCTGAGCTGGAAGTGAACCTAGTAATCTCTCAACCAGAGGCAGATACTGAAATCTCAATCTAAAGCCATGCTGCTCTGAAAAAAATGTCTAAGGGTGTGGCAAAGCATAAACAATCATAAAAACAATCATAAAGTCTAAATAACCAAGTTCTATAGTTGTTCCAATTATACTTAGGGGTCTCAGTGGTGAAGTGGTCAAGCCTGCCTTGCACTCTGAAGGTCATGGGTTCGTTTCATGGCTGCACCCGTCAGTTCACGAATGCAATTTTTAACGGAGATCCATGGGGGTCATCAAAGGAGCTTCAGAGTTTGTTCTTTGTGAGGTGCTCTCAGCAGGCGGCTAGCCAATATATGTTTAGGTAACCGTCAGTCCCCAGGGACCATCGAGTTGTGCCCCTGATTTTGGGTACAGTGTCAGCTATGACTGTAAAGTCCTATATGGAAGTGGCAGTCTCTGCCTTTCTATCACCCAATGGAGCATAGGCCCTCAACCAACTCACACCAAGTCATTCTATCCTTGGCTTTCACATGCAGCTCTCCTCATGTCCTCCCCATCTTTTTAACTCCACTCTCTAGCACCCTTCTCCTTCTCTGCCCTAACTATCAAATAAAAAGTAAAAGTAAAGTAAAGGACCCTTTTCCACGCCATTAGGCATAAAGGGCATATAGGGCTAGACCTATATTTTTATAGACCGATGGGCACAACATGGGTGATGCGGTCAGCATCACGCCAGCCGCTTTTACTTCCCGGGATTGCACCCGGTACCAACTCAAGGCTGGGTCAACCTGGGAGTCAAAGTCATTTTGGAAAAAAGTCAGGCTCCGCCAGGGAGCGAACACATGATCTTCTGATCCGCACGCGAGCGTCTAGCAGCTATTCCACGGTGACTCCAAACTAACAAATATTAGCAGGGAAAGTAATGAAAGTATAACATTATATTCTCCATGTGTGTTCTGCTGCCCCTTGGGGGAAGAGAAGGGGAGATGCACTAAGAGGCAAGTAACAAGCGTTTTGCTGAAATCAAATGTGTTAGGCCAAAAACTGCAGACATCACAGCCTAGCTATAAACTATAAACAACAGGCCAGCCTCATTTTTTAGGGGTGAACAAATGAGGAAAAGAAGATAATATGCAATTATAAGAAAGAAACAGTGTTCTTTGGTGAGTTGTTAAGAAGAGAGGTACTAAAGATTATCAGGACAGCTGGAGAGATCAACAGCAGATAGAGAGAGCTCAAGAAGTATGATGCTGAACAAAGATTGTGGCATGGAGGAGTATCTATAATAAAACTGATTCAGAACATCAAGAAGCATGATTTGTGGCGAGACACAAATGCTTATGTCATCTGAATGCCTATGAAACCATTCATGCAAGAACACAGTTTTCAGTTGGGAGGTGAATCAATGTTAGAAATTAAAGTACCAACTCCATGGGGGATTGTGTTACAGAGCTATACTATCCGTCTCCAAGCTCAATGTACAAGACTGTACTGTAACTTTTAGCTCCACTTTCCATCTCCAAGCTCAGTGTATAAGACTGTACTGTAACATTTAGCTCCACTTCCCATCTCCAAGCTCAGTGTATAAGACTGTACTGTAACTTGTAGCTCCACTTCCCATCTCAAGCTCAGTGTATAAAACTGTACTGTAACTTTTAGCTCCACTTTCTTTATCCAAGTTCAGTGTATAAGACTGTACTGTAACTTTTAGCTCCACTTCTCTTCTTCAAGCTCAGTGTATAAGACAGTACTGTAACTTTTAGCTCTACTTCCCTTCTCCAAGCTCAGTGTATAAGACTGTACTGTAATTTTAGCTCCAGTTCCCTTCTCCAAGCTCAGTGTATAAGACTGTACTGTAACTTTTAGCTCCACTTCCCTTCTCCAAGCTCAGTGTATAAGACTGCATGTAACTTCACATTTCCAAAAAAGCCTACTATGACTCAGCAAAGGAATAATTTAGCACATAAAGACAGGCTAAGATCAATCCTAATGGTTGTCTGCATGGGTATTATATATTTTACTGTCAACAGATGTCAGCTCAGTAGTTCAGCACAGTAAAAACAATAAATTTATGGGACAACAGAAGTGGGATAACAGAAGTGAAGCAAAGTAAAGTTAATCTTGTTACCTGGCACTGGAAAATTAAAGAGGGATTTAATCGACTCATCAGGTAAAATAATCCAGTAATTTGTAAAGGTTGAAAACTTCACTATGCCTAAGACTACCTGTCACTAAGTGGCAAGATGAGCACACACACACTCATCATCATCATCAATTTCCACTTCTGTCATTAAGCACTGTGGGGAGGAACAGTTTGCGATCCAGTGCTTGATGGGCAGCAATGCCTACTGTCATTCCATGTCGAAGTAGAAGCTCTTTAATGTCATTAATCCATTTTTTCTCCTAGGGCAGCCTCTTGATTTCACTTCACATCTTTTCAGGTGTAGCACCTGGATTCTAGCTGCATTCTCATTAGATAACCAAACCATTTGATCTTCTTTTGTTTTCTCAATGAATTTGCTACATGGTGATTTATCTACAGTCTGTCTGATATCATTTCTAACTTTGTCTCGGATGGTTAAGTTGGCGGCTTTTCTCAGGCATCTCATTTCACAGGTGTTAACTTTATTTTATGTAGGTGAGTCTTTGATAATGTCCAAGTGTGACACTGGTAGCACAAACACTGAGATACTGAAAACAGCAGGTGTCACCAGTTTTCTCAAAGCTCAGTCTCTGCAGGCACAAGTGGTTTGGTCATACTTGGAGAACGGAGGATGATAAGAGTGCTTAAGGACATCCTCTATGGTAAATCACAGATGGGTAGAAGATGTCGAGGTTAGCCTCTATTATAATATAAAGATCTGTGCAGGCAGGACATGAATGATATAGGTATTGAGGCAGATTCATGGGGAAAAAAATACCCTGGACCGTGCTGCATGGAGGAGGAAAATCAGGAAGGGAATGGGAATACAGGGGTTGTTTGCAGAAAGGCTGAGAGCTGATAATCTGAGAAGAAGCACAGTAAATAAATATGATGGCCACAATAGTCCCAAAAATCCCATGCTTTAGTTTGGAAGACTTTTTTCAACACAGGCGGGTCTTACAAGTCACACATGTCATCGCCACTGGCTGTGAGTCCCAAGTCTCCCTAGAGAACAATATAACACTATCATCTGGAAATACGGGAAAGGTGCTAACGAAACCAAACAACTTCACAACTCTTTGGAGTAAATGCCAGGTAATGCATTCAACTGTCCACACAGACTGCTGTCAGACATAGACACTGAATGCCTGATCTCTGATTTAGCTACAGCAGGCACAAAGCTACTCTCAGCTATACTGCTGTCCTGTTGGGAGTGACTGACTGCATCCGTATTACAAGAATAGGATGCAGCTGTAGTGACTGCTGGCTCAGGTGAACTCTGTAACACCATGTCATGATTACAGTCAGATAAGCAAGCTGAAGATGAACTGGCAGCTAATTCCTCACAAGTGCTTGGCATGTCAACAGAGGGCAGTGGACTGGAAGTGTTTAACTCATCCACAGTCTTTAATAACCTGCTTACAAAAGAATCTGACTGGGGTAAAGAAGCAAGACTGTTGATGCTAGGAGAATTAACTGTTTTGATATCCTTCTGAGCATCAGGGTCACACACATGCCCACTGGCCATTTCCTTTGAAGATGGGGTTGAAACCTGACCTTTTGCAACACCAGAATGCAGGCGACTGCTTTCTGTATGGTTTGCAGCAGAGTTATTCCTTGGTGGCTTCCAGCTAGCAAATAAACTCATGGAGCGAGATGGCTTGTTGTGGCTTTCACTGGCGCTGCGATGTCTGCGGCGCTTTGCCTCTTCAACCTCAAATAGGATGTCTGTTTCTGGCAGGAAAGAATTCCTTTCCAGGCAGGCTTGACTTAGAATAACAAGACCACAGGCATTGCTCACTATGAAATGATAAAGAAACAAAAGAGTATGATTGCTAAAATGATAGTAAACAAAAGTGTCTGATATCTAAGTGTAGGTTTATATTAAGTTTTTATTATCCAAAATATACTTTTAAAATGTAATCAAATTAACAGGTCTTGTAACTCTTTTGGTACCAAGTAACTTACATATGTTTATTGACTAATTCTTACAGGGGAAATTTTTTTTTTAACCTTCAGCCTGTTCCCACTGACTATATTTTAAAAAAAATTAACACTTATATCATAATAGCTATCCTTAACTCTTTCCGTCCCATAGCATTAGGTATTTTAACTGAATCATCCCCAAACATGTACTACTTCAAAAACAAAAATGTTTTTGTGCCCCAGGGACCCAGGAAAAAAATATGACCCTTATTTTGGGAATTCAATAAAAAAAAAATGTGTAATCATTTAACATACCCACAACAAAATCCTATTGTACATATATTGTTGTATATATACAAATATTGTTATCTCCTTACTGGAATATATATATCAAAAGAAAATATTCTGGTTATTTAAAGCCTATATAGGTGTATATTAACACTGTTTTAAATATGAATAAATATATTGTCATAACATTATTTATTACAATAAAACATTTGTAAAGAAACATGTTTTGTATTTTTTATACCTGTTGTCCATCTACCTATTAAGCTGTCTTCTTATTTGTTTCATATCCCTCTATTATATCACTTTAATATATTTTACTGTCTATCCCCTCACTCTGTAGCTGTATTTATTTTACTATAAATTTGCTACATAATTCTGGCCACATAATTTCCATTAAAAAGCAATTTTGTGCACAAGAAACCCCACCTAAATACTATTTTTAACAAACACAGACATTCCTTCTGCACCTAAACATTTGTGCAGGTACAAATGATATACCAATGCTGTTAGATAGGCTTCTCATGAACAAGCCATGAACAGCACATCTGTGCTGGTATGGCACAAACCAGAAGTGTTGATTTTGCGGTTTCTCCGAATGAAAGGGTTAAAGTAATGACTGCCTTGGACTGATAGATTTAAATCTCTAACCTCATCAAGGAAACCTCCTGTAGTGTGCTAAACTCACTTTGAAGTTCAATTGTACCAGAGGTCAGAGGCGTGATCACCTATGCCAGCGGTAAAGGCGCTAGATTGTGATGATGATGGCAGAGATGAGTGCAAAGGGTCCACACTGCTTGATGCTTGAGACAAAGGTTTCTAGAAAATAACAGCTAACAGCAGTCTTCACGAGTATTGCAAGACTCAAGCATGACTAGCTGCTGAGCTGAAGGTTATCCCGTGTACAGCCAGTGCCTCTCAGTCAGTTTAGTGTGTGGACATGTTTGTGCACGAGTTGTTCCAGTACGGTGTGTTTTAACAAGGGTTTTTATTCTGTTGGAGCTTATGTGAATTGTTTAATGGGTTTGGTGGATCATGAGTTGGACTTTTGGGAATTCTGTTAGTAATGTCTAGAATGAACTTGTGTAGGCCATGTGTTGTGGGGTCGAGAGTGTTGCAGCTATGGGATGTGTGGTTGATGGGTTTCTGTAAGGGCACAGAGGGTGGTGGGGGATCTTGTGTGTTAACAAACGTGTAGTTGTGATGGAGAGGTGTATGGAATAGATACCAGGAGCAAGTGACTAGGTAGCAGACTGCGGTCTGGATTTTGTTTCAGCTTTATTTATGCACTGTATAGTGCATCTACCTTAAACCCTCAGACTGATGGGTCCCTTGGAGGAGCAGCCATCATGGAGTGGTCACTGTACATCACATAGGTGTACCTGCGCAGTTGGGTGTGAGTTTCCATAGCAGGCACCTGGGACATAGTTCGATGGGGTGTTTTGTCCATGTATGGAGGGACTTCAGATAAGAATATTAGGGAAGGCAGTAGAAGACTTGTCAGTGTGCCATCGATCACCACTCATCTTTGTCGTAACATGTTTCGTCCATAATAAAGAGACTGATGCACTATTACAGAGATGACTTTTAGTGTACTGGAGCTGACCTTGTGATCCTAATGTTGGTAGTAGCTTGTCGATTAGAGAACTTTTTGTATCTATGGGTGAAGCTTAATCATCACCCCTTAGACACTTCGCCAGATATGCAATCCATCCCCTAAGATCACATATAACACCTTGTCTTTGGCCAATCTAAACAATCCTGTTTTTCCTGGCCAACCTTATGCTACCAGTGTCAAACCTTTAATACAACCAATAAGCAGAAAATTATAACAACAGAGATGATATGTCTTAGATGAATTGCCAAAGTAACAAGAACAGCAAAAATTACAATTGAAAAAAAAAGTGAAAGAAGACCAGGACTAAAACTATTTATACAGTTCATTTTAAGGAGCAATAGATCAGACTGTTTAACCTTCTGATGGAAATGCACTGCCACAGAGAGCCATGCTGAACTAATACAATTAACACAGAGCAGGGAGGAAAACCTTCAAAATATACAATGACAGCATTAATAACATTTCTCAAATCAACTTTTATAAAGCATCCGAATGAGTACACAGAAAACCCTTACACCACCCCCCTTTTCAGCTACCAAACCAACCCAAATACCTGGATGAGGTATCTGGAGGAGGGGGAGAAATCTATTACACTTTAAAGTATTTTCTGGATAATGTAAACTCAATTCGTCAAAAAATAAACCGACTAGAATCTTATGCATTTCGTAGCACTTAACAGATTACGGTAATGAAAAAAGTTGAATTACTTTATATACAAAGTCAAACATTTCTTAAACTTAATTATTCTGAAAACTGTCTTTTCAAAATGACTTCTGTTTACAGGAAGTTGAAATGATGATAATCATGTTAACATTACAATGTCATGTTCAACAGTGTATGTTATTAACCAGTTGAAATAGAATTTGATTATGTTTTACATTTCATCAGCTGTACCACAGTTTTACAGGGATCAAAAAGAGAAGCAATAAATAGTAACATTGTTAAGTCACACAAACAAAATTAGCATCAGCCGGGCTGCTTCACCCTACAGAGAATCATAACTGTTTAAAAAAAAAATGTAAATATCGAGTCAACAAAGGGCTTAAATAAGTTAATTGAGGGCCTAAATTTCACTGGGAGATACAAAGCAGAATAAAAAAAAGAAACCAGCAATCAATTACATTTCAACTTAAAATAACAATATCAGTGATTTTCCCATGTGGATCCCAAGCCTCATTTTGGATGAGAGAAAATGAACAGAGCAACTGCCCCCCCCAACAAGCATACCATACAAGGTGACTAATGGTTTACTTAAAGTGGATGTCTGGGGTTGAAATGTGCAAATTAGGTTTAGGTTTAAACAAGGATCAATATCATGGCACAAGGGTAGTAACCCATAAGTGCTCCGTTCAACTTCTAACTCAAGCCTCAGTCCAAAGAATCTCAGCGCAATACACGAACTGTAGCACCGGCAGAGGATCCTTCGCAGCCTGACTGTAAACCCCACATAAAGTACCAACCATCCTTTAAAGAGCTAATGCAGAAGAAGTGATGTTTAAATAGCGATGAAACAGTATCGTGAATGATTACTTTTATGGATGTATTTTGGTTTCACAGATACTATGTTCAGGGTTTTTTTTTTTTCAGAGTCAGCTGGCAAATATACACAGCCACATGAAATGAAAGATAAATGCATTCCTGAAATAAAAACCAAATTAATGAAAAACTGACAAAATCTGAAGATAACACTATAACACTCACAGAGAGATCCTCTAACCATCTCAAAACTGTCGGTACGATCAGAGCTGGTGACTGTGCTCTGAGATCTTTTCACTATACTGCCCACTCTGGGTCTGTGGGTGCGGTGTTTGCTATCCTCAACAATATGAACTTCTGCATGAGGCAAAAAAACTGAAATCAGTAATCACTGTCTGCAAACTGTCAAGCATGTTACTTTAACCTTTAAATTGGTCTTCTGTGTTTGCCCTTAACAGCAGTTTTTGGCTGCAATATTTGGGCCTTTCCGCCCAAAACATCCCATTCCAGGAAACCCTAAATTTGTTGCTGCTTAAGACATGCTTGAGTCCTGTTCCAGGCCCAGAATTAGAGTAACTTCCCATGTCATTCATGCCTCCTTAGGTCGCTGGATCTCTCCTATGTTGCGGGTGTGTTATGATATGGCTTGGTTTGGCATTTGCTCAGCATGGGAGGTGGTGGTGTTGTGAGTCTATTTCAGGTGCCTGTGTACAAGTAAGAAGTACTGCAGGGGAAAGCCCCGCAGGTGCGACGATTCGTGGTTATCGCAACTGATATGTTTTTGTATTTCTATGTTCTTTGGCGGTTGACCACCCCCCTTCCGAGAGAAAGAAAGCAATTACAAGAAGCGTAAGAATAGAAAAATATTGTTTTTTCCATACTCCCGAACCGTCACGCAGGTAGCAGAACGTGAAAATAATCATACAAGCGAGCAGTGAGAAGACACAAAAAAAGGCAACTGTTAAACCATTCACAATAAGGAAAACATGACACCCGCCCGCCCCCTCCCCTCTCAACATAGGAGAGGTCTAGCTATCCTAAGGAGGCATGAATGGCAAGGGAAGTTACTCTAATCCTGAGCCTGGTAACGTGAACAGCACCCATGCTTGTTATGAAGAAGTGGGTCTATTATTTTCCCCCAAAATGGGGCCCTAGAACCCACAAAGGGGTTAATGAGTTATTAACAATGTATTTTTTCGGGACTGTGCTAAAATATATCCGTGTTTTTATATAGTTAGTAACAATAAAGTCTGTAGACAGTCAACTATCCAAGAAGCTGGGTAGACTGGGGAGCACATGTCAATTTTAAGTCTGCTTGGATGGGAGCTAACATAAACAGGACCATATGGCAGGTATGCAAGCATGCTAACCACTGTGTGGCACTGCTCCTATGATAATACAACAAATTTTCCAACAAATCATCTGCAACTGAAACAAACTGGGTATTCTGGAATTATAAAACTGTTTATAACCCCTAAACCATATAAGCCTACTGTTTCACAGTATATTATTGGTTTTAACAAAAATTGGTCTTTTCCTTTTACTTACTTACACAGTGAAATACTAAGTTCCCAGTCATAAGCACACAAATGTATTCAAGTATGGATTCCACATCACAGTCAAATACTAAATTTGCAAATCATAATCACAACGATAAATGTATTCAAGTGCATTGTTAAAGACTGAACAATCTTACCAACCTTTCTTTAATTTGTCTGTTGGCTTACTGCTGGTGTTATTCAAGAAATTGAAAGTCAGTGGATTCCACATCTCCAGCTTAGACTTGCTAGCTTTGTCTGAGTTGTTACTGACAGAAGGTAAGTTGACACTGTTGCTATCTTCATTTGTTACATCTATTTGAGTCAAGTGTTTTACATCTTCTTTTGTCATTGAATTATAGCCTCTGTCTGAAACATCCCCTGTTTAGACATTTAAATACAAGATAGAAAAAATGCATAAAATTTGTTGTGCAATATGAGATAGAAAATACAATTACACCAGCTATGAAGATACTATTTTATGTGCTTTGTAAGATATTAAAGATATTATAAGAAACTGTGCAAACTGTAAAGAAAGATTCATTGCTGTGGTGCACACACACTAGCACGCACATGCACACACAAACTAATAAGATAAACTAATTTCACTTGAGTATTTACAGCCAGGGGAGTCACAGTGGCGGAGTGGCTAGACGCTCGCCTGCGGATCCGAAGGCCGTAGGTTTGCTCTGTGGCGGAGTCGGACTTTCCCATCCCCCCAAAATGACCTTGGCTCCCAGGTCAACCCAGCCTTGAGTGGGAACCGGGTTCAGTCTCGGGAAGTAAAATCGGCCGGCATGATGCTGACCACATCACCTATCTTGTGCCGATTGGACTATAAAATATAGGTCTAGCCCTATATGCTTAAAGGCATGGAATGGGGTCCTTTACTATTTTACTCATTTACTGCCAGACAATCCTCTTCTTCTTCCAACACATTCAGCCTTAGAAGAGTGGTTAGAATGTTGTATGTACTTTCAACAAGGCTGCAACATCTATGGCTTTCAGCCCCACACATCTGATTTCAGCCGTTAGTGGGAGGTGGACAAGTCACATTTTAACATATAATTGTTAGTGGGAGGTGGACAAGTCACATTCTAACATACAATTGTTAGTGGGAGGTGGACAAGTCACATTTTAACAATTAATTGTTAGTGGGAGGTGGACAAGTCACATTCTAACATACAATTGTTAGTGGGAGGTGGACAAGTCACATTTTAACATATAATTGTTAGTGGGAGGTGAACAAGTCACATTTTAACATACAATTATTAGTGGGAGGTAGACAAGTCACATTTTAACATACAATTGTTAGTGGGAGATGAACAAGTCACATTTTAACATACAATTATTAGTGGGAGGTGAACAAGTCATATTTTAACATATAATTATTAGTGGGAGGTGGACAAGTCACATATTAACATATAATTGTTAGTGGGAGGTGAACAAGTCACATTTTAACATATAATTGTTAGTGGGAGGTGAACAAGTCACATTTTAACATACAATTGTTAGGGGAGATGGAGAAGTCACATTTTAACATATAATTGATAATGGGAGGTGGGCCTATTCTTTTTTTCCCCTAACACATGGTCCTGAAACCGACAGGGGGGAGGGATGACAATCTTCAAAAACGTTGAATTAGGATTCAGTATCACAGTTCTTGGGACACTCCCATAAGCACTCTGTCCCCATCCTCAGCAGCAAATGAAGACACTGCGTATCTCAAGATAATTAAAGTTAAATTAAAAAACACATTCTGAAATAAAAAAAATGATAGTGTCAAAAATAAATTTAATAAGTATCTGCAAACCATTCTACACAAGTTAGCTAGCAGAGGACTGCAAATTGAAGGGATCATTAAACATCGGCAAAGTCAATGCCTGGTGGTTACCAAGAAATCATACAATTCCAACATTCTATATAAACAGTAATGGTATAACTATCAATTATGAAAATATTTTGGAAATGCCCAGTAAAGCAAAAAGTCTAGAGTATTTTCATGCCCCCCCCCCACCCCCCCGTGTGGGTTCCGGGGCCCCATTGTGGGGAAAACAAGAATAGACCCACTGCCTCCCCAAAAGCATGTCGTAAGAGTCGACTAATTGGGAAGCTTCCTTTGAAGTCGGAGTGCATCTGCCGGAGAGGCAAGGAACCAACAGTCTGTATTCAAGAGAATGAGATCTGTAAAACTGATGCACACGCAACACTCAGGTTCTGGAGCAGGACTGCAGTTCAGTAGTGGACGAGCAACCAGAACCTTCCGCCAGAGTTTACAGCTGGTGAACGTGAAGAAGAAGAAGAAGATTTTCATGCCTTTGGCACATTGGGCACATAGTGCTAGACCAACATTTTTACAGACCAATCAGCACTTGATGGGCGATATGGTAACCATCATGGTGGCCACCTTTACTTCCCAGGACATTAATTGGCATCCATTTTAACACTTTTGCTGCTATGGACATCTTTTCCCATTTTCTTGTTCTTTCACAAGCATGTATACATTCACAGTTTCATGATCCTTACCACTAAATATAGAACATTCCATAAAAACCAACAATAAACAAATTATAATAAACATTAATAAGCACCAAGTAAAGGAGAAGGAATATGAATTTCTCTCTTCGTGATTTACTGAATCTAAGCAATATGGGAAAGAAACAGGTTAGTACACACCTGAGCTCATCCTCTCCTCAAAGCTGCCACTCTTCTCATTCAATCCTTCTCCTGTAGTTGCACTACTGTCCTTCAGTGCTGCAGAATCTGATCTGTTGACTTCAACCTTGGAATTCGGCTGGCCTTCAGCGAGGTAACTGTCTGCACTTGTGCGACTGATTTGGTCAAACTCACTGCCGGAGTTGGAGTACACAGAGACACTCCGGCGCCTCAGCAGATGTCTGAACTGGGCAATTCCAAGGATCACATTGCGGATTTTCAACCAGGTTAAATGACCTTTAGACTGGGGAGATGGCCACTTGGCTTCCAGCATTACCTGCAGAGTATAGGTTTTCAGGTCTGCTGAGCTTCTTACAATCCATAAATAAAGTAAAGGGAAGGACCCTTTTTATGCCTATGGTGCATGGGGGATGTGATGCTAGACTCATAATTTTGCAGACATCCACACCACTGGGCGGTAAACTGATACATGACAAGGCAGATGTGGTCAAGGCCCTTTGGGAACAAGCAAGGAAATCAGTAGAGAAACAACATTATTATGGCCTGGAGAGAATGAGGCACCTGGGTGTAACCAGAGGGTCTGGCTGGCTCACTACACTCAGAGAGAAGGCAAGATGGACATATAACCAGATTGTGACCGTTACCATCAGTATTGAAACTCTGCGATGGCTGCTGAAGATGATGATGGAGCACACATGGGAATGCCCCGAGTGCTGTAATGTCAATTCTTGACTCAACTTAACTTAATTTTACAGACCAGCTGGCATTTGATAAGTGATGTGGTCGACATCCTGCCAGATGTTTTTACTTCCTAGAACATTATCCGGTATCAATTTTAGGCTGGGTCGACCTGGGAGCCAAGGTGAATTTTGAAAAAAAAACAAATCTGCCTCGATACAGAATTTGAAACCTAAATCTTCAGGTGGTAAAATAGGTGTCTAGACACTATCCTACTGCAGCTCTCCTTATAATCCCTATACTGTGAAAAGTACTTTAAACTTTACTCGTGCAAGTAATTATAGTTACCATTTAAAGGTAAAAATTGTCACATAAAATGGTTGGAGTTGCTAAGGAAATCTTGTCTGAAAGGAATTAGTTTCCTTTTTTATTACTCTGGGGTAAGAGGGAATGAACGAACAGACTGGCTTGCTGGCAGGGCCACGGTAGGCACATGAAAAGCAATGGATTGGGCTGATATTTTCAACACTGTCAAGGAGGCAGGACAAGAAGATGATTCAGGAGACGACACTGAATCTGCAACACTCAAAAGACTACAAGAATTTCAGGTCAAAAGAGGTGTCACCAAACATGAACACTATACAGGTAGCCAAAGAAGAATAGTAAACCAACATAGAACTGGCATTATCGGTCGCCACAGGCTGAGGGACATACTGAAGATGGGATCTGAGCACTTATAGACTAGTCCGATGTGCAATGAGGATAATCTGTCGATTGACTAACTAACTAACTAAAGGTAGTCACACAGAAGGCCTCTACATTGTCTAAACAGTGATGTAAAAAGTGGGTTGGCCAGTTCCCTTCCTTGTCACTTTTCCATTCCAGTCAATTATAAGATAATTCCCAAATTGCAACCTATTTCTAAGAGACTGTGTCAACCCCAAAGATGTATCAACCCCAAAGATGTATTGATAGAAAAGATGAGGGACAAGGGGTATGGGAAGCAGAAGAATCAACAAATGCTGGTTCTAAATACCCCCCAAAAAAAAATGATTTTACGAATACAGATGAGTACATTCTTTTTAGTGCACATATGGTGGATCGTTGCTTAAAAACTGGTCTGGTAGTCTGGTAGTCTTAGTTTCAGCTTCATAGCAACGGGTCGCCCCATCTTTGCTTCGCTCCTGTGCCAACGAAAAACACCCAGAATGTTTATCACAGTTCCTTGTGGAAAGATTGACAGACTGCTGTCTCAGCATATCTAGCATACACTCGCATGAAAGCATACGGTAGCCATCCCAAGTGCTAACACAAACAGTCCAACATTAGAAATGCAGTTCATCATTGATGATAGCAGAACTTGTCGCCAACAGTTCAGCAGTTGTCCACGCGATCAATTTTAACCAGATACGGGTACCGCCAACATTGCACACCATTTTCTGAATCTACAATTCACACCACCACGTTGGTCGAAAATACATTCCAAATGCAATCCGCAGCTCACAGGGTCACGCCATGCATTCAACTCAGAAGCTGGGCGACGAAACTATATCCAGTCTACAAATGGAGCAAAAATACTTCGGCCACCGTCCGGCAGAAGCAAAAAATTTGCCTCTGCTTTGAACAGCGCCGCTGTCTAGCGTCCATTTTAACCGGTATGCCTTATGCAGTAATGCATGTGCACCCTGCTGGTTTGCTGTGACTGCTGCTTCCATCAACTATGAATAGTAACTCTAATGACAGGCTGTAGGTGTTGGCACCTTTGGCGACTGACTCTTGCATATGAAGCTGTTGCTCTCTCTACTTTTCCTGTGAGACAGCAATGGGCATTTTGTGTGGTTCTTCACTGGCACAGAATGGAGCAATAATGGGGTGACCTGTCTGCTATGAAGCTGGAACTCTCACTGATAGCCTGAGAAGAGTGTATATGACAAAATGCAAACAAAAGAATATCAACTCACCTTATTATAATAGCCATATGTAATAGCATTAGGGTGCACTCCATGTTTCTTCATCTGAGAGAACACTTGAACTGCCATACCTGGTTTGTTGAACTGACCAGCCAGCTGCATGACCACACGATAACACACCTACAAAATAAAGTGCTTGAATCATCAGTCCAAAATAAGGAAGGGTAGGATACATGGGAACTTCAGTACACCAAAGGGAATAAAGGACTGTATTTCTCTGCCACAGGAAAATCTTCGAGGTCTGCACTATGCTGCTGTTACCTGTCCTGTGGAGTAAACAAGGCAGGCCGAGCGAGGGATCATGCTGCATGAGCAACACGGGGCCTCTTCAATACTGCTCTGTGCTATGGAAAGGAGGAACTTCATCTCTAACCTTAATTAACCATCACCATGGGCTGTCACTTCCTTGCCTTCCTACAGCACATTATAACACTATCCTGTAGAAAGATGGAAAGGTGTCAACAGAACAACTGTGCTGCTGTTTTTGTCTGTCTCTATGTCTCAGTGATTGCCATTCTATTTCCCTTAAGATCCTACACAGGGGGTCTCTGTGGCCAAGTGACCAAGAAGGTCTTGGGCTCATTTCATGGTTGCACCATTCAGTTGTCGAATGTAATTTTTACAAAGTTCATGCTCTGTGCGAAGCTCTCAGCAGGCAGCTAGCCCTTCTGCGGAGAGACGGTGCAATGAAGTCAATCCTCTCGACATTAACCTTAACTGCCTTCATGCAATGGTATCAATGTCAGCAGAGAAAATCTTCTTGTGTTATTAGTAACCAGGAAGACCTACACCTGGCCTATTACATTCTTTGTGTTTTTGTCTAGTTAGAATTGCTGACAGTATGCTTGTTAAAACTGCTAGCTTCTGTGAAGGGTGATCATTTAGCATTTAAATGTTTAAGTGAAGTTACTATTTTCTGGACATTAGACTGTTTGACATATGATGCTATGCCCAGATTTTTTAGAGAGCCATGGTAATGTAGTGGCTAGACAATTGCCAGCCTGCCCAAAAGTCTTGGGTTTCATACGCATCAAGGAACATTTGTTTCAACACTGACACTGGCTCCCAGATCGGCACAGCCTCAAAAAAGTAACAGGCAATGTCCTGAGAAGTAAATGTGGCCAGTATGATGCAGACCACATCACAATCAGTGTATTAAAAAAATGAGTCTAGTGCCCGAACAGACCCTAAACAAGCATGGTGTAGAAGGCTTCTAATTAAACGTTTTATTAAATTGGATGTGTTCGGCTGAAAGGTGAGGATATGGCAGCCTAGCTGTAAACCACAACACAATCTGCCAACCACCTTTTAATGGCAAATATAGAAGAAGAAGAAGAAGAAGGAGGAGGAGGTGTAACAGACACTCAGGAGTGGAGTAATGACTGCCTGCTCATATACATCTGTCCGTAAACAAAAACCACATACATACATACATACACACACACAGAGACAGACCGAAAAAATTTGAGAGATGGGAAGACAAACAAAGAAAGACAGAAAGATAAACAAACAACAGAGAGAGAGAGAGAGATAGATAGAGTGAGAGAGAGAGGAGGGGTCAGGGAGGAGGGAAGGAGGGAAGAAGAGGGAGGAAGAGAGAGAGAGAGAGGAGAGAGAAGAAGAGGGAGAGAGAGAGAGGAGGGAGAGAGAGAGAGGAGAGAGTAGAGAGAGAGGAGAGAGAGGGATAGGGAGAGAGAGAGGGAGAGAGAGGAGAGAAAAGACAGAGAGAGACAGAGAGAGAAGACAGAGAGAGAGAGAGACAGAAGAAGAAGAAAAAAAGAAGAAGAAGATGGAGGAGAGAAAAAGAAAGAAGAAGGAGGAGGAGGAGGAGGAAGAGAAGAGGGCACAATATTTAAATGTAAATTTTAAAAAAAAAAATATTAAGAGTCACAACATGTACTTCATCAACTGTAATCAGCCTGGCTTGCTCCATTTTCCTTAGGACAGCTAAGCCAGTCTTCAGGCATTCTGTTTTCTTGTGGTTAGCCTGTACAAAGGCAGGATACACCACAAACCACAGGCTGTAGCAGTAACTCAGTATACACCTGTAAAAGACAAATATAATTTGATTCATTGCCTAATTATTGGCATTTCTTTCAGGATGAAAGAACATGTCCATATGTAATAAATATAAAAGCATTTTGCTACTGTTTAGCTGGGAGGTGCTGGGGTGTAGTGGCTGGACGCTTGCCAGCCGAAGGTCATTGGTTCAAGTCCCAAACCTAAAGGTGTACCAGCTAGTCCTGTGAAGTAAAGGCAGCCTTGGTGATATCGACCACATCATCCATCGAGTGGTCTATAAAATATAAGTCTAGCCCTACATGCCCAAAACATCTTAAGGCATGGAAAAGGGTCCTTTACTTACTATTCAGCTATGTATGGTCCACAAGGGCAATCAGTATGGTCTAAGTATGATCAACCTCAAGCTGACTGACTGCTAACAGCTTTGAAAGCTAAAAAAAAAAAAAAAAAAGTCAGGAGATGTGAACCAGAGTCATTGCACACAGTTATAAACCATAAATGCTCTGCCACCAGTACGGACAGCTGATAAGAATTGTCTGCCTGTGTCGCCGTTCGCACGTAACTCTGTAGCTACAGCCACGTTTCTCCATTTAGCCCAGAGTGTCAACTCTGGTACCCATTTCCTAGAGGCTGGGTGAACCCTGGGAACCACCCGGTTTCGAACACCGACCGTGGGCTGCAGCGAGTCGCAGCTGGATTTAAAAGCGACCCTCCTATCAACTGCGCTAACGCAGTACCCGTAAAAGCTAAAAAAATGTATGTCTATGTCAAGTAGAGCCACTAGCAGCAATGCTGTCTCAAATTTCAAGGTAGATACCACAGTTCTGCACTGAGGCATGCATAAAAAAAAAAACCACTATGATACTATGTCTCCTAAATGGAATGCTTCAAACTGTGTCATCAAATTACTGAAGTGATTAAAAAAATTACCTTTTTTTTTTAAAGCCCATGGCACATCGGCATATGATACTAGACTCATATTTTTATAGACCAAACGGCGTTCAGGAATTATGTAGTCAATATCTTGCCGGCCACCTTTACCTCCCAGGACATCACCTGGGACCCATTTTAGGTTGCACTGACATGGGAGTCATGGTAACTTTAAAATAAAGTCTGACTCAATGCAGATTCAACCCCAAGATGTCCCAGCTGGAAGCATCAAGCCAATCATTACCACGGTACAGTCGTTTCCTAATTCTCTCTCCCATACAGTTTAACTGACAGCATGAAATAAACCTGCGCAATGCAAAAAGCTTGAACACCTCACAGTGGAGACCCCCTAGAACAGTACCATTTAATGGTGGCACGTGGTAAGGTGTAGCAAGTGGCCTGCAGATAACTACTAGCTGTGTGGTATTAATGATCTTTATGTGAGGCGGCTCGAACCTCGGGCCTGTGACGGTCCCCATTGTCAAAATGTTGACCCCTGAGGAAATTCTGTTGAATAGCCTTGCCATTAAAAAAGGGCTATTCAACTAAGTCATCATCATCAATTTTCCTTATGCCTAGTGGCATATGAGGCTTTAGAGAGGACTTTCCATGCTTTCCTGCCCTGTGCAATCTTCAGTGCAGTTTTCCATGTCAGAGATACCGCATTCAGGTCACTCTCCATTGTTCATCTCCATGTTGTTTTTTGAGGCCCCTTCTTTCTCTTTCCCTCTGGTGTCCATGTGAGAGCTGTTCTGGCAGGTATATCAGGATTCAAGTTTACTCAGTGGCCACAATTCGGAAAATGGTAATCACCATTTTCCAGAGGCCGGATCCCCAGCGCAGAAAGATTACTCATGAAATACAACTGGCAATGATCAGCAGGCCACTTCTGCGGGCCAAATCTGGCCTGCAGGCCACCAGTAACATAGACCTGCCCTAGAATAAAAGAGTACAAATTAATAACTAAGCAAGATTGAACTCAATGGCAAACGTCTGTGACAAAAAGAGTTCAGGCTTTGTAGTCTAGACATTTTCTTACTTTGCCCATGTCTCTGGATTTCCAACTTGTTGCAGTGCAATCTAAAGGGGAAACAATGTGAAAGAATATCAACATGACCGTATAATTTATGTGATCATGCACGACATAAGAGCATACTCTTCTTTAACTCTTCAATGCTTCCATACATTTTTAAGTGGCTAAACAAAGCAGTCCAAAAAATTACTACTGTAACAGACACTCAGGAGTGGAGTAATGACTGCCTGCTCATATACATCTGTCCGTAAACAAAAACCACATACATACATACATACACACACACAGAGACAGACCGAAAAAATTTGAGAGATGGGAAGACAAACAAAGAAAGACAGAAAGATAACAAAGACAGAGAGAGAGAGAGAGAGATAGATAGAGTGAGAGAGAGAGGAGGGGTCAGGGAGGGAGGGAAGGAGGGAAGGAGGGAGGAAGAGAGAGAGAGAGGAGAGAGAGAGAGAGAGAGAGAGAGGGAGAGAGAGAGAGAGAGAGGGAGAGAGAGAGGGAGAGAGAGGGATAGGGAGAGAGAGAGGGAGAGAGAGTTACAGAGAAAGACAGAGAGAGACAGAGAGAGAGACAGAGAGAGAGAGAGACAGAAAGAGAGAGAGAAAGAGAGAGAGAGAGAGAGAGATAGAGAGAGATAGAGAGAGAGAGAGAGAGAGAGAGAGATAGATAGAGAGAGAGAGAGAGAGAGAGAGAGAGAGAGAGAGAGAGAGAGAGAGAGAGAGAGACAGAACAGACCAAATTAAAGAAATCTTGCACTAGATTCGCAAAACATTCACAATCTTTAAGAGAAGTTAGTATAATGTTGTGGTACAGAATTACCTTTTGTGCAGATCTGACCTCCTGCTTTGTTCGCCTAGCCAAGGGGCTGTTGGGACATGGTTGTTTAGTGGGCAAAGAAAGCACAGACTTTTTCTTTGACAGAAACAACTCTGATTTTAGCAGGGGGAAGCCGTTGTAGCTATTTGAAAAATAGAGAAGATATGGAGTATGAAAAATATAGAATACATGGAGTAATAATATAATCTACAGTAATCAATTGTAAGCTTTGCTGTTACTTAACCATGGATGCAAGGTAATGGTGCAACCCTATCCACACATGCAGCAGGTTACTCCTACAGCCACTGGGTGCCCCAATATAAATGTTTTACACTGTTAAACTGGGTGTCCAGGATTTGTTCCTATTGGATTGACATCCAAAAAGTGGCTCTTTGAGTCACTGATAACAAATCTTCAGGTTAAAATCCCAGAGAGGGAATAAACTAAAATTAAAATGAATGAAAAAAAAAAACAACACATGACAATATTCATGTTTTAACAAATCAAAAAGTGTAATGATCACATGTCAGGAGTGCTCTTCAATGTGTACACAGCAGTAGTCATGAGTGCACAAAGCCTAGACCTAGGCAGAACAATGTCATATGCAGATGATATCCTTGTGTACCATCGAGGTAGAAACAGGCACGAAATTACAACCACACTACAACACGAACTAGACAGACTCAGTGAGTGGTGCCAGGAATCAAAAGCACAAGTGAACCCACCCAAGGCCTCCTCAACATGGTTCTCTTAGAAAAGCCAACACGTCAGTTCACCAACACGCCAGTAGTAAGCATGTGTAGTGTAGACATCGAGAGAATGGACACCATGAAATATCTGGGCATAACATATGACAGACGCTTGTCATACAAGTGTCACGTAGACAACGTCATACTTAAAGCCAGGAAAGGTATGATAGTACTCAAGGTGCTAGCGGCAGCTGATATTAAACAACGCCTACTCATTAAACAAAGCCTACTTTTCCCTCTCTATCAAGGGCTGCACAAAGCTTTACATGACACAAAAAGGAATGGGTCTTAAAAGAGGCTGCTCCTGGATGGCCAAGGCTGTAGATTTAATCCAGCAGATATGTTACCTAGATGAGACCAGTCACAGAAAAGAATGGACGAATACACCAGTAGACATGCGTGCCATCTCTAAGGTCGTCATCACGCTAGGAAGGTACTGCAGGGATCAGACTCCTGCGGCCATAGATACAGAGGTAAGGGCACTGATAGATCAGTATTCAGACCCAGAAGATATCATCATCAACACAGATGGATCCGTGAAGTGCGGATCAAGGTGCGCATAGATATACACAGCACAAAGAATGGGGAAAACAATATAAAAGGACAGCGGCACTTATCAGGCAACCATGTCAAGCATGACCATGGAGATAGCCGCTGCTTCTAGAGCATTAGCATGAGTATCCGTGCAAAACAGTTACACAGACAGTAACTGTATCAGACTCCATGAACACACTTCAGAAAATAGCAACAGGCCCTGAGTATGTATAAAGCATTTGAAAGTTGCACTTACCTTTCCTCACCTGGATCTACACACCTGGTCATGCGGGTGTAAAAGGGTAATGAGCAAGGGGACCAACTAGCAAGCAATGCATTAACGCATGTGGGAAGAAGGATGGACAGAGTAGCTATCGTCAATACTGTATGGACAGGACTAGTGGATAATAAAAGTGGATAATAAAACTAAAACGATTGCGTGACATGGGAGTAAAGCACGTCTATGCCGTCTTCGAGGTAGAGATAAGAGGCAATATAACCAACTTCTCATGGGACAAATTTGTGGGAGTACCCTGGACTGGCTGCTGCATCGGAGGACTGAGCATGCATGGGAATGCCTAATGTGCAGTGACGTCGACTGTGATAACATAACTTCTATATTATTTTCATGTTCTGCTGAATCATTTATGGCTATATCAAGGTCACTGGCTGTAATAAATTAGCAGTGGGTGAGCTCACCTGGATGTTTCCTAAACACTATGCTCAGATAACAGTTACACCAGATTTTTTTTTTAAAATCTGCTGCTTAATGACAATTATATCCTTACCAGTATCTGACACCTTCTGGCAGACCAACCGGGCTCAGGGGGCATAATGAACACTGTCCTCTCACTGCAATATATGAATGACCCCACACAGACTTAGCTATCAATCACAGAAAATTACACTAATAAAACACAAATATAGTCATTCAATGCAAATAAACTAACATGGCACAGATGAATACAGGTCACAGTTAAATATACAATGTGTCCTAAAGGCAACCTTGTTAGTGTAGTGGCTAGAGGTTTACTGCCAGTTTGAAGGTTTAGAATTCAAAAGCACAATGGGGCAGACTTTTATAACTGGCCGAGCACCCCCTGACTTATTTAGCCAACAGTGGTGACCAGAAAATGTCCTGGAAAGAAAAGGCAGCCAGCAGAATGATGACCACATCATCTATCAAGTGTCAACTGATCTATAAAAAACGTTAATCTAGCATCATACGTCCAAAGCGCTGACTAGCATGATAAAGAGTTCTTTCAGTGTGTCCTAAAACATGTATACAAATTCTGATTTAGTAACAAAGACATTAACTTCTCTTGAATATCAAGAAAAGAGAATAATGATTATATGAAAGAAAAAAAAAACATATTAAATAGAAAGGGCAAAGTTGACCCAAGTCAAAAACTTTAAATACCTGTGATCATAAAATCTGATTCAACTCTTTCGGCCCCTAAGAATCTACAATATGTTTATAGTTCTTACCTAAAAGACCAATGAATGCATGACACACCAATTATTGCTTTTTTTTAAATTTACCACTGGGTGGTTTAAAAAGATGAATCCACAACTATGAATGGTCTTTCCGGATCATTCAATAACATACATGTGGTCCATTAGGTTTATAAGGAAACGTTAAAAGCACAAAATGTATGTTTGTGAGTTTTACCGAGATATTAAGTGTTTGTATGAAAACAAGATGGCTGCCAAACAGTCTTCTTTATATACATCAACGCAATTTATAGCTTTAAAAACCTCAAATTTAAATAAAACAGTGTGCTGATCAGTGAAGCTAGGTGAAGAAAATATCAAATCATACTTATTTCAGTCATTTACGGAGTCAAGCTTTGATGAGGAAAATATCTGTTGGCACCTCATGCAAAGCATTCAACAATTACAGTCAGCTGGCACAAAAAGAACATATCTTTAGTGAAAATGCATTTTCTTCAGTGCCAGTTCTTGTGCGATTTCCCTTATTATTAAGGAACAATACAACAAAATGAAGGGCAATTATAGTTTTAAATAAAGTTCTTTTTCCGTGAAGATACTAATTGTTTTAAAAAAATCATTTTTTGGGTACCAAGTAATGGTACCCTGTGATGATGTTTCAAAGGTTTTTCTGGAAAGGATCTAATGTACATATTGAGTTTATGTTTTATTTATACATTACCAAATGATTCATGTTTGTTTAAGATTTATTCCAGATACATTTTATCAAGTTTTTCTTGAGCACCCTAATGGTAAGTAAAAACCCTATCATCTCATTTTACTAACTACTCTTAATATGTTGTCTGTTTATTAACAAACATTAAATTATGAACACAATTATTTGTTGCAACAGTACATTAAAATAATTTCTGAACATTGCCTGGTCACTTTGATGTATAATATGTGTAAGCTGCACAGCAGCTGTATTAATTATTGTGAGTTATAATGTGTTACACTCACAAAAAAGTGTTTAAGGAAGAATTCAAACACTGTGAAGAAATTATAAAAATTTTCTGGACAACCACCTGTATCAACGATGAAGATGGTGATATACTGGGTACATCATGAGGAGAAGCAGACAGAAAATCACCAAAGAGGCACTATAATGGGAAATAAACGGACTGAGGAAACAAGGATGCCCATATGAAACTTAATAAGAAAAACACATGTAAGACAGGTCAAAGATACTGGACTGGATTCTATCCATGAAATGGAAAGGATTGCATACAACATGACTGAACGGGCGACTAGATTTCAAGCCCTACACAATATGTCACAACATAACAGGACAATGATGACGATTAAATAAGATGGACAATTTGTACTTTTTCAATATATTACACACACACACAAACACACACACACAAAGAATTAAAGAAAGAACATCTTAGGTAGTATGTCAGTTTCACTAAACATCAAAATGAGGGTACTAAAGAGTTTTGTTAAACCTATTCTGCTGTATAGCAGAGAATCCTGGAATTTTAATGAACAAGTAAGGAGAGGATATGAGGCTGCGTATATGCAATTTCTGAGATGAATATTTCAAATCCCTTGGTCAGCCAGGGTACTAACATATTTTCTACAAATGCTAATGAAAGACAGTAGGACATTATATGCAACCATAAAACAAAGACAGTGTTCTTTAATCGTGTAATAAGAAGATAAGAATCGCTGGACCAAGAAATCAACATCAGGATAGGTAAGGTAGCAACAACAATGAGCAGACTGACAAAGAGAGTTTGGGAGAACAGAAAGCTCACAATTAAAACAAAAGCTCTTGTCTGTCAGGTGTTCCCAGCACTCTGCTTTATTGCAGTGAAACTTGGTAAACTTATTTGCATCAGGAGAGACGGCTAAATAGCTTTCACATGCGATGGCGAAGAAGAATATTTGGCATTAAGTGTCAGGACAAAATAACTTACACTGAGGTACTGGAAAGAGCAGGTACTACAACAGTCTTTTCCATGCTGAGTCTACGAAGGCTCAGGGGGCTGGGTCACACAAAGAATGGAGGATGGCAGAGTCCCTAAGGACATCCATTATTGTGAATTAAAGGGGGGTAGAAGATGTCGAGGCCAACCTTTACTACGCTTTTAAGATGTGGCAAAAGGGACAAGAATGCTACAGGTATTGAGGTGGACTCATGGGAACAAAATGCCAGGGACCGTGTTGTGTGGAAAGGGCATATCAGGAAGGAAATGAGAGTGAAGGCAGAAATGAGTGCAGAAAGGATGAGTGCTGAGCGTCTGAGAAGAAACGGATTAAACACAAATGTTGAGAACAATGGTCCTGAAATCCCATGCTATCATTGTGGAAGACTTTTCTTGACACGGGCGGATCTTGCTAGTCACACTCGCCATCACCATGGGCTGTGAGTCCTATGCCTCCTCATAGAGCAATATAACACTATCGTCTGGAAAGAGGAAAAGGTGCCAATCAATCAAGAAGAGAAACATTCAAGAACACTATGATGATGGTACTGGCACAGGAAAATGTAGACCTCTACGAAGGTGGATACAGGACAATGAAGATGCACTGGCCATGAAGGCACACCAGGCTAGAGAATTAGATAGAGAAAGAGAGACTTTTCAGGCATGGAGTGAACAGAGTGATGTTCTGTAAAGGACTTGCCGATTGACTGACTGACTGAACAGTCTGGGCGGATGGATTTCAAGGGTGAAGGGAAATTATGCCTAAGAGGATGTGAACGTAGCACTACCTTGTGAACAGGTGAGTGCATAGGCATTTTTGGCGAGTGCTTCTTCCTTCCTTCCATTTTTCCCTCAGGGCTTCTATCTAGCTGACTGAACACTCTAAGATTATAAAATCTCAATCCAGATGGCTTGCAACAGGGCCAATCCCAGACAACCTCAAAGTAAGTTATCATTTGCACACCCAAAATGGCTATACATGCAATCCTGTAGGGGTAAGGACAATCACATGGTGTTTTTCTTAATATGTGTGAAAATGTGCATATGGTCTTGCAGTCTTCTTCTTTTGTCCATATTCTGCTTTGTTCCACTAGGCATCACAGGTAAACAGATGATCTGTATCCATGCTAGGGTACACTCAGTTACCCAGTATGCTGTCATGTTGTGGTGTCTCAAGATATCGGGGACTCCTTCAATCCATATTCTTCTTGATCGTCCTCTCCATCTTGGTGTTTCTAATTTCATTGCTGGCATCTTTGGATTCAATCTCATTATATGGCCAAACTAATTCGGTCTGTTTTTCAATCAATTTAATTATCGGAGTTGTTCAAATAGTTCTTATAATTTCTTCATTTCTCATGTGTTTTCTTTCAGTGTTTTGTTCACAGGCTTTCTCAAAGATTTCTCATACAACATTATTATGGCCTGGAGAGAATGAGGCACCTGAGTATAAAGAAAGAGTCTGGCCGGCTCACTACACTCGGAGGAAAGGCAAGACAAACATATAACCAGATTGTGACCGGTACCATCAGTATTGGAACTCTGCGCTGGCTGCTGAAGATGAGGACAGAGCACACATGGGAATGCCCCGAGTGTTGTGATATCAACTCTCAAACATTTCATTTCATTGGTGTCAGTTTGCTCCTTTCCTACGGTCAATGTCCAAGTCTGATACTAATAGTACAACACTGGTATGAAAACCACATTAACACAAAATTATTGTTCATTTAATTAAGATCTAAGGAGAATTAGAGTCTCCTCACTAGATAAAATAGAAGATAATCTTCTGCTGAAAATATAACCAACAAACAAATTAACTATTTAGTCTATAAATAAAATCTATCTGTCTAGGTTTCACTTTCCACGATATCAATGTTTATTATACTATAGGTTTTTTTATACAGGTAAAAAAGTCAATTTATGCCAATAAATTAATCAAATTGTATATTCTACATGTAGACATATTTTTTTTATATTAACAAGTCAGGTTATGACTACAGATTTTGTATACACAGACTGAACAATGAATAAATGACTTCGCAGAAAATTATCTCCCTTAGCATCTTTTTTAGCTCCCCTGATGATAGATGGGTACCCTTCTAACTAGTCTATTTTTATTCTGCTACCACTGTTTCTAATACTGATGCATCAATATAAAACATTATGTATTATTTTTAAACTGGACATACCTGCTGACTGAACTACTGTTAAAGATAGACAATGCCGGGTAAGGACTCATGAGTAAAAAGAAAGGAAAAATCTTTTTTATCAATTTGTTTTTTGGCCAACTGTTCAGATCCATTATTCTTTTACCAGTGTAATGACTAAATGTGAAGTTTCATTGAACTGAATACTTCAGAGCTTGAGCACTTTCACACAATGTAAAAAGAACCAGAGTTGCCTGCACAAATGATGGATAGTAGAATATTAAATGTATAAATGCCACCATTTATACAAAGCACATTCTTTTTCTTCTGTTCTATTTCTGTCATGAAAAAATATCAGTCCAAACAAGGAGAAGGATTAGTCTGCCTTAATACCAAAATCATGAATGATAAAATGAATGCTGCAGCTAGAAAGCCTTCATCAGCACAAAAACCAATATACCATGATACAGTTACAGACAACAATACAGTAGTTCGCTCATCTTTTGCAAAATCTCCACAACATGACTGTATAGTAGACACATCTGCACACAGGTGTTATTGCCGGATATACATACTTGACACAAAATTACCGAGAGAGATGGGAAAGGCAGTAGGCAGGTGACACAAACAGGGGACATAACAATTTGACATAAAACGGTTGGCCAGTAAAGACCCTTAGGAGAAACAGCCCAACAGACAGACAATACTTTTTCTGCCCTACATCTTCCAATAGAGCAGACCCTCAACCAAACCATACTACACTCTTTGTACAGATTTATGAGTAGTTAAATTCTGCAAACAACAAAAAAGTATTCTATGGAATAAGCTAGCCTTTCTAATCCACACTCATTTTTGTTGCCTCTTAACTTAAGACTTATATGAACAACATTACGAACTTTCATGAAATATTCAATTATTCTAAAGACGAATTTTAATGTCACCAGACAGTCGAAGATTAATCATCATCCTGAAAACAAAAAGGTCCAAACATGTCGCCAGTCCCTATGTGGGACGCAATTTTTCGTTATTTGTAAGCCCCACCAAGGCTGTGGTCGGGGGACCTTGAATAGGGTTTCTGGGACCTGTTCCCTGGTGATACTCATCCGAATGGTGGCACTTTGTCTCACCAGGTGTCTAATCTCTCTGTCCTTCCTGGTGGGGTAAAACGTCAGTTAGTCAGACTGAAAACATTATTGCTTTTCTTTGCTTCCCTGGTATAATATGGGCATATCATTCACTATTAAATGTCTTTCTTAAACTGATATTGAAAGGCAAAACAGGAATAAAGCAGGGGAAGAGAAAGTATAAGAGTTTTATGCTCTAATTTCCTTAGTAATTAACCGGACAATTTCCTAACGAAAATAAAAGGGAAAGAAACATATCCAAAAAGGGAAAAAACATCCATCTGGAATAAAGCTTTTTAGGTAAATTTAGAGGCTTGCACCTAATGTCCTGGTTCATGGATGCAACACAACTGATTGAGGTTTGGGGTCACACGGATAGTAACCCATAAGTACTCCATTCTTTTTCTAAAACTGAAGTCTTAGTCCGAAGAAGCTCAGCACAGTGCACAGGCTCTGTAGCACCAGCGAGGATCCTGAAATACTTTGGGTAGATTTTTAACTACAAATTTTGCCTGGTTAGCGCCGTTAGGCTACTCTTTTTTATTTCCAACTGCCAGGGGATTTTTTTTTAAACGTGCGCAACAATGCTCACGAGCGTCCGATCTCACTACCCAGAGACCAGGGGGAATTATTAGAAGTCCAAATCCACGTGAAAAAAACCCATCCCTTACCGGGGATTAGACCTGGAACCTTTAGCACTCGAGGCGGACACCATGCCTCAAGACCACGCAGCCCCTGCAACACAACTAATAACTTAAGCATATGAAACAGATAGCAAAGTAGAAAAAAAAATAGAAAAAAGCTTCTCAAAATTAACCCCAATGTGTTGTGGAATGCTACACATGGAAAATGTTAACAATCAGGAATTTTTTGCAACATGAGAAGTGAGTTAACAATAAGGATATTATGGTACAGCATACCTTGTCTGGCTGTCATCAATTTCAATTAATCGTGGTTCATCTCTCATTTCATCAACCTGCAACAAAAAAGAATGTGTAGCATAAATTAAGTTGATTGAAAAGGGTGGCACATTAGAAATATTGAAAACTAATATACAGTCTAAAAACCACATAGTGAACATGTCATAAGTTGTCATAGAATCATCTATGATCTGGTCAAACTGTAATACCTTCCAGTCAAGAGATGACAAGTAACTAACCCTTATGTATAGCTAGTCAGAGGTGCATGGTTATAATAGGCATGCACCAAACATCGAACATTCAATTTTAAATCTACAAAATGTTTTACTGAGATAGTCGACTTGATGTGTTAATTGGTAGACTAATTAGGCTGATTCAAAAAACAAAACAAACACTTTTAAAGTCTGTTTTGTACAACAGACTTCCCTCCCCTGGGGCCCTGTTTTGGGGGGAAAAGGAGAATAAACCCACTGCCCCTTCATAAAGCATGCTGTAAAAGGCGACTGATGAGGGGTACTTCCTTTAAAGTTGGAGTACATCTGCTTCAGAGGCAAGGAACCAACAATCTGCATACAAACAAGGCAGATCTGTAAAATGGATGTGCTCGCAAAACCCAAGCTCTGGAAGAAGACAAAAGTCCAGAAGTGGATGAATTACCACAACTTTATGCAGGAGTTTACTGCCAGTGAACATTAAGAAGAAGAAGTAGCAGACGAAGAAGAAGGAGGAGGAGTCGGAGAAAAAGAAGAGGAAAGAAGAATAAGAAGGAAGAAGAAGAAAGAAGATGAAAGAAGAATGTAGAGGGAGGAGGAGGAGGAGAGGAAGAAGAAAAGAAGAAGAAAAAGAAGAAATGTGAGTAAAAACTGTTACAGCATGCTCTCTGAAATACCTTTTCAGCACACTCATCAAAAAATGTCAAGCCAGCATCTCGGTCTGAAACAAATGATCTCTCTTCTATAAATCTGGAAAACATCTGTGTGTGCATCAGCTGATGGTAGAATTTTGTGGTGGTCTTATCCCGGCTCTTCAGAAATCCTGTACAGATACATAAGTATGCTAATACTTAAATGTGGAAAACAGAAAAAATAAAACAGCAACAGTTTAATGAACAGCCTTACAGTTCATGTCTTTTGACACAGATAATCTCTTTTGTTTCGTCTTTTGTCTATCCAGTCGAGGTTACAAAGACTCAATAATGGAGGAAAAATAATAAGCACATCACAACCCCCCCCCCCCCCCCCCCCCCCCCCTCTTTTTCTCTCTCGCAAGCATGCATGTTGTAAAAGGGTTTTGCTGAAATCGGATGTGATGGACCAAAAGATGTAGATATCACAGCCTAGCTGTAAAAAACACACAATGCCAATCACCCTTTTAAGCACAAATGCAGAGAAAGAAGAAATCGTCTGCCTCATATACTTGATCTATTAAACAATGGGTCCAGCACCATTAGCTTGTTTTGCCAATAGCACAAATGGGTCCAATATTAAGTCACTTTACTATAATGTAGAATAAATCACAAATTTATTAAATTAATTACATGTTAAAAATTATACATTCCGACATCCTCCTCCTTTTTTTTTTTTTTTAGCATTCCAAGCTCTTGAGGTTCAGTGATGCAGATATAACCAGCTGTCATTCATCTCTCTAACTGGCCTTCTCTATCCTGTTGGTGACACCTAGTGTTTGTATGTATTTCTAAGATATTATCTCCCCATCTTCTTTTTGATCTGCTCCGCTGTGTACAGTTTTTACCTCTCAGTCAGCGCTACTGATGCTATTGATCAATGGTGATTTAAAACAGATTATGAATTTCCTGGGTAAATAGAATTTTTAAGAATAAATAAAATAACGGAAATGTACATTCCACCTTTTCCATTTTTTTTTTACAAAGCTGGAATTAACAAACAAAAATGAGACTGGAAAAGTAAAAATCTATAAAACAATGAGGAACTTTGGAAGAGAATTAAACTCATCCCAGTGATCAAGAGGTGCAGAAAAGAAGTTGTCACTGAACATGAGAGTACCTGAGAACAATAAAACTAGAAAGGCATTGTAATCGAACCAACAAGAGAACAGAAATAAAGACAGGCCCAAAAACAAAACATAAAAACAGAGTAAGGGACCAGAGAATGAAGTTAAAACGATGGGAAGGGCATGGGGTGAGTCACATGTGACAGCAAATAATAGGATGACTTGGCTGAGGGTCTATGCTCCACTGGGGGATAAAAGACAGATGATGATGAAGAAGAAGAAGAAAAGAAGGAGGAGGAGGAGGAAGAAGAAGTAGATGAAGAAGAAGAGGGAGCAGGAGAAGAAGAAGAAGAGGAAGAAGAGGAAGAAGAAAAACAAGAAGAAGAAGAAAAAGAAGAAGAAGATGAAGAAGAAGAAGAGAATGAGGAGGAGGAGGAAGAGAAAGAAGAAGCATTTTTATAAATAAAAACAGAAAGATCATATAAATGACCTTGCATGTCAAACAAAGAAGTTGCATCTGTAGCCCGGATGTTTGGTGCCTTCATTATGGGATTCAGGTAACTCTTGTAATCCTTGAGTATGCTTGCAAAAAATCTCAGGAAAACTTCTTGGATTGCAAGCTCCAGCTGCATCTGCTCAAAAAGACAATAAAATAATGCACTAGTTTAGAAACTGTGTTACTTAATTTATATTTTTTAAACCTGAAATACTGAGGGATGGCAAGCGGTGTCCGTGGCTTAGGCACTGCGTGTCCGACTTGTAATTCCAACATATCGCAATCGAAACACACTGCAGGCTGCGTGGATTTTTATCATGGTATGGGGCAGCCCAGGTCGACCCAGCCTAAAATGGGTAACATGATGTATGTCCTGGGGAAATAAAGACGGCTGGCGTAATGCTGACCACATTACCCACCTGGTGCTGATTGGTCTTTAAAAATATAAGTGCTCTTCCCACATGCCCGATGTGCCTAAAGCTTTGAGAAGGGATTTTTACTATACTGGGGGATTGCTGGATAAACGGTAAGAACGTCGAATTCAAATCCTTGGTAAGGTGATGGAGGCTATTTCTCTCCAGGGAAGAAAAAAACATCGTAACTTGCACAGCCATATGGCTAGGTACAAGCATGTCATAGAAATCGACTAACTAGGGGTGTTTCTTTTGAAGTCAGAGTGCATCTGCCTGAGAGGCAAGGAACCAACAACCTGCATCAATAAGCCAATCTGTAAAATGGACATGTAAACTCAAGTTCTGGGACGAGACCAAAGTCCAGAAGTAGATAAATAAAAAGAAATTTCCACTGAAGGCTGGTGAATGGAAAAAAGAAAGAAAAGAATACACACTATGTGAATACCTGAATACAATATCTACTTCTCCAACCTTCGTGAACTAATAGTATAATTTATCAGGTGTGCTGGAGTTGTTATTTAATAGATATCAAACTTCAAGAGAACAGTTATGAAAGGCATATAGTTCACTTAAAAAAAAAACAGGAGAGCAACCTGAACATTAAAAAACGGGAGACATTAGACATTAAAGACACTCTGGGACTGGAAATGTATGAAGCAAGGGAACTGGTGAAAGATAAAGAATAAAAGGTAGAGGTAAAGTCGGGAGATGTGAACCAGCGTGTCTGCACATGGTTATAAACCATAAGTGCTCTGTCCCCAGTACGGACAAACTGATAAGAAGCTTTCCACCTGTGTCGCCATCCGCACGCAACTCCGTAGCTACAGCGACATTCCTCCATTTACCCCAGAGGTTTAACTTTGGTACCCATTACCTAAATGGCTGGGTGAACCCCAGGAACCACCCGGTTTCGTACACCAACCATGGGCTGCAGCGAGTCCAGCTGGATTTGAAAGGTAGTCTCCTATCAACTGTGCTAACTCGACCCACTCGAAGTGATGAGAGCAACATTCTGTAAAGGAATAGCTCAATGATGAAGAAGAGATTTCTAAAACCATGCTACTAACTAGAAGCTACATTCTTAATCTTACACTTTTCTTTTTCCGTCGAAAATCTTGATCGAAATGTGTCATTTCTAAGGAAACTTCATCACTGTCATTCTTCAGCACATTAGGTTGACTTGCTTTCTCATACAGTTTTGACAAACATTCCTGCATGACCCGTGTGGGTTTCTGGAGATAAATAAATATACATTAAACAGTCAAAACAGATAATTAGCTAGTCAATATCTTATGATGAATAGTAAGGGATTTTGTCAGTAATTTTCCTGAAATGACATATGTTATAATTAACTAGTCAATATCTTATGATGAATGGTAAGGGATTTTGTCAGTAATTTTACTGAAATGACATATGTTATAATTAACTAGTCAATATCTTATGATGAATAGTAAATGATTTTGTCAGTAATTTTACTGAAATTACATATGTTATAATTTACTAGTCAATATCTTATGATGAATAGTAAGCAATGTCGTCAGTAATTTTACTGAAATGACATATGTTATAAATAACTAGTCAATATCTTATGATGAATAGTAAGCAATGTCGTCAGTAATTTTACTGAAATGACATATGTTATAAATAACTAGTCAATATCTTATGATGAATAGTAAGCAATGTCGTCAGTAATTTTACTGAAATGACATATGTTATAATTAACTAGTCAATATCTTATGATGAATAGTAAGCAATGTCGGCTGTAATTTTACTGAAATGACATATGTTAACATTTTAAATACAATTTTAGCTTTAAGTACCATCATAAATAACAGGAAAAGAGTCAGAACAAGCATTATGTCTATTTGTATAAGAATAACTTTTAATACACATTTAAATAACTCTATAAGCACTCTACTCCAGTGTTCTTCAAACATTTTACATATGCAGAATGGTTGAATGGGTGTAATTTTTCTTTCTATGGATAATCTGATGGCTAAAGCCATTTTAATAAATGTGCCATCTCCAAAATACAGTTTATCTGCACTGCACCTGCTGTGGTCTTTGGAAATATTACATTGAGAAGTCCAAATCTTTTCTGTGGTGTGTCTTTTCTATCACTGTCTAAAAGCTACAAGAAATGCAGTTTTCTAAATAGCTGGCTATAGAAACTGAACTCTGGGATGTTAAAATTTAGACTGAAATGATTTCACTAATCTTTAAGCCGTAGAGCAACACTAAATGTATTGATGTGTTCAAGTAAAAGTTACATCTGCTGCTACTTAGGTTAGAAAATATTTTACATATGGCTGGATCGTTGTTTCTGAGAGAAGAAATGCTGCAATAAAATACATTAATTTTCCTTGTTTATTTTTTTTTTATTACTGACATGTGTCATAATATTGCATGCAGAGCACTGGTCTCTTTACACAAAGCACACAAGAAGGCTCTAAATAAAGATCACAACTTGTGTAAAACTGGCTAGGATCTTAATGTATTTACAACAGAACCACACATATCATAAATTAATGTTGTGGGTAAGTTAACCAAGAAAAGAGATAAAGCCTTATTATAAATTTTCAAAAACAGTCTTATGATGAATCTTTGGACTCATCAAAGATGCAAACAGCAGGGAATGGAGAGTGAGAAGCAACACTGAAATTCATAATCTGTTTAAATCACCACTGACCACTGTTATGATGAGAGCTATTAGTCTAAAATGGCTGGGGCATATTGAATGTCAGATGACAGAGAGGTAAAGACTGTATACACAAGGGAGCTGAATGGTCGTAGATCATGAGGCAGACCAAGAAGACCATGAAGAGATAATGTGCAGACAGATCTGCAAACACTTGGTGTCAGCAGATGGAAAGAGGAGGTTAAACACAGATATGAGTGGAGGCAGGTGATATCTGCAGCAATGAACCATTGGCATGCTGAAGAAGAAGCAGAAGTTTACAAATTCCTAAATTAATCCCAAGCAGCAGCCTTTTATTTCAATTTTGTAACTGCCTCGAGGTTTTTTATTTTGAATGTGCACATGGATCCTTCCAGTTTTTCATCCTTATTTAAGATATAAGACATCAAACATATTACCCCAGGAACATTTCTTCTGAACAGAAATATTTCTGTCTTGATATCTTCTTTGCTAAATTATCATCTCTGCATCATCTGTTACATAAAATACCTACAAAGAGACAACTAATGATACAATTAAATGTCAAACCAACCAACCTTTGGCAAAAACTTGAAGCTCAAGGACTTTTTGTCTTCCGGCCTGTTAGAAATATTTACTATTTAAGTACCATTATGAAAATGCTGGGGGAAATCATTAAAATCTATTAATAATTAAACAGAATACAGAACAGGCACAATTTTAGAGCATTTATAATAATTACTGACATAAAATAAAAACCAGGTAGGTCAAACTGGGTGTCACATGGGTCACATATGTGTTGTTACGAGAGCCACACATGACAAATAATTATTTCAATTATAATGAAGTCATTAAATATACAATTATTGCTTGCAAAGGGTCTCATGCGGCCCATGGGCCGCACATTTGATACATCTGCTTTACTATGTCTCCTCTTAACAGTGGCAGAAAGACTTGTATGTGCCTAGTACTTCAGAAACTATGTAATGGGATGTACTATCAAGATCTCTGAAGTCATATAGGTTTTAAAAAATATTTTAAAAAGCAACATTATGTTGTGGTTTACAGCTAGGCTGTGAAATGTACATCCTTTAAAATGATTTCTGCAAAACCCATAATTAGTCACCTTTTAAACGTGCCTGTTAAGTGGTGATTTTGTTTCTTCTCCCCAACATGGGGCTCCAGAACCCACACAAGACAAATGCAGATTTATTAATTCAAAAAAACTTTTTTTAATAATAAACAAAAATAAAAATAAAAAAATAAAAAATCCAAGGCAACAACAGAATTAACTGCCATAAACTTACATCTGAATTCTGTCTGTGTCGAGATCCACACATATAATATCAGGTGGTGGGTCATACAAGTCAAAGTAACGAGAATCAACACCTGGAATAAGTAAACAAAGCTCAGTGTATAAGCTAATCTAATAGTTCTACCTGCCGGTGATATATATTTCTATACTACTGAAAAATAGAAACAGCTTAGCTGAAAGGAACATAATTTTGTCATACTTTTGACATTCAAAATATGACCAATTTAATCAGTGAAATTTTCAAGTTACGCACAAGAAAACTTTAGGGTCTAACCAATATGCATCTGGTTCAATAGTATTTAGGCGTACAGGCTGTCTTGTCAAGAAAAAAAAATAATTTTTCTCTTTTTAAAAAAACTTTTCAACGGTATATTTATAGGTGCCAAGATTCAGTTAGTTTACAAAACAAAACAAAAAATGTGACAATGTAACATTTTTTTTAAAAGAAAAGGACCATTTTTATGCCACTGGCGTGATGTACTGACTCATATTTTGTGTAGACCAATCACCCCTCTGTGGGTGATGTGGTCAACAGCACATCAGCCGTCTTTACTTCCCAGGTCTTTACCTGGTACCCATTTTAGGCTGGGTCAACCTTGGAGCCAAAGTCAGATTTAAAAAAAGTCTTGACTCGATGCAGATTTGAACCTATAATGTTTGGGCAAGCAGGTGAGCTTCTGGCCACTACACCACTGGAGTTCACTACAATATTAATAGCCGCTGCAGTTCACATCTGTTAGCTTTTCTAACATCTTCTTTAAAACAAATATCAGAAGGAAATGTGCCAAAGAAAGCAGGCCTGCAGGAGTGTTAACATTCTATAGGAAAGGTACTGTCGTCAGTTTCTAGGAAAATATAAACTGGATCAATTCTGAGAATAGGAGAAATGCTACTGACAAGCAACCTGGGGATGAACAGGCTGGCTTCTGACCAAACAGATCTTGAACTGACCAGACTGCTATACACACATAATAAAAGAGCAAAGCACTAAAACATTCTGCTATTTTACAATGGAATTATGGACCACTGATAGAGGTCATAAATTAGTACCTGCATATAACAGGACTAACATGGTATTATATAATCATCTTTATGGAGTAAACTAAGTAAATATTAAAACTATAGTTGAAGACGCTGTCATTGAATAAAACACGTACTGAGATAACTGTTAATAATAATTAGAGCATACTTCCTCGAGAATGCACAGGGTCAATGAACCAGAGGGAAACCTAAAATACAAGAACTAGAGATAGATAAATAAATAACAGTAGCAGGATGTGAAAGGAGCTGCACGAGTAAGCGAAAACTGCAAGGACGGCATGAGCTGGCTGTGGGCCTCTATATTCCATCGGGAGATAAAAGATAGAAACAAAAACTGAGAATTAAATATTTAAGAGGTTGTAAATTGTTTTGTTTTTTTAAATTCACTTTTTCCACATGAGACCTATAAATGAAACAAGAAGCTTTGTACAGTGTTGTGCCAACATACACATATGTACATGTAATATTCCACAATTTCATTAACAGCAGCAGGTGGAACAATGATCTTCTTACCGACAATAAAAGGACAGGGAGCATTCAAGACATCTGAGAGACCCAGTGGACACAAGGGTATATATGGACACTGCCAGTGTAATGGAAATATCATCTGAAATAAAAAGCAACAGGTGATTAATGTTTCATTAATTTATACATACAAACATATTAATGAATCCTTATACATATTGTTTAGACTTTAATAATTTACAACACATATATGTGACAGGGTGTCTGTATACAATTTTTATGAAACTGTAAACTTATATTAGTACAAATGTTAATTATCTTTCAATCTTTTCAATACTTTGCAACCCACCTAGATTTATTACATTTTACAATTTATTACATTTATTAGCAGTTGTGTGATTTGTCTAAGCAATTCTACATAGGGTAATTTGCCGCTTATTTGTCAAACGTCCAGAAGTCAAAGACATTCAGCTTACACATAGAACTTAAGATCTTCAACTCTTGTGTGATTCCAGTGCTAACTTATGGATGTGAGAGTTGGAAAGCAATGGTAGCTCTAGATAAAAAAATTAGACACCTTTGAGAACAGACGTCTTAGAAGAATACTAAATCTCCACTGGACAGATTTCAGATCCAGTACGCAAATAAGACAAGAAACCAAGCAATATAATGTATCTAATTTTAAAAGCAAGGGCCGCTGGAACTATATCGACCATGCACTCAGAATTGATAAGACCAGACCCCCCATCAAGCCCTCATATGGACACTGGAAGGGAAAAGAAAACGGGTAAGACCAAGAGAGACCCTGCATAGAACCATATTAGGGAAGGCTCAACTATGGGCCAAATGAACATCCAAAACCTAAAACAGTTGGCAACAAACCGCCAGACAAGGTGCGCTGTTGACCTCTGCCCTATGTGCCGCCTTAGGCTCAAGAGGAAAGACTAGCTAACTAATTTGCCATTGCTTTCTAAAGGCTGAAGCCTCATGCTGCTGTCAAAGTCAACATAAAGCTGTCTGCTACCAAATCATGTATGTTATGATTATGAAACCGTGTTCATAACCCAAAAGCCAAAAATGATGAAAAGTTATATTTTTTTTTAAAGTTATTTCCAACTTTCATAATTTTTGATAAAAAATGTTAAAAGTTTTCAATTAAAAATAATTAATTTTTTTCACTCCTAATATTCTGTCCACCAGATTTTCTTCAAACATGACCTTGCCTCCCAGTTCGACCCACCTTTAAATGGGTACCAACCGAGAAGGCTAACCCGGTCAACAAATGCCTGCAAAAGTTGGATGTGTTGGCGGAAAGTCGCAAATTTTGTAGCCATGCTGTAAATGGGCACAATGCACTTACATCTTCAGACGAATGCAGAATAAATGGGTACAGGTATAGTTCTGGGAAGTAAAGGTGGTTGGCATGATGTTGACCACATTATACATCAAGGCCTGATTGATCTATAAACATATGAGTCTTGCTTTGTATGCCCAATGTGCCACCGGGGTCTAAAGGGACCTTTACTTATTAATTATTCTGTTCTGCATGTAACTGCAACCTTCTTCTTCTTTGCGTTCACCGGCTGTAAACTCTGGCGGAAAGTTCTGATTGTCTGTCCACCTCTAGACTTTAGTCTTGTTCCAGAACCTGAGTGTTGCGTGCACACCCGTTAAACAGATCTGACTTAACTGTATGCAGATTTTTGGTTACTTGCCTCTTAGGCAGATGAATTTCGACTCGAAGGAAGCCCCCAATTAGTCCGCTCTTACGACATGCTTGTTGGGAGGCAGTGGGTCTATTCCTGTTTTCACCCATAATATGGGGCACGGGAACCCACACAGGGAGAAACTGCAATGTCTCTGCTTATGTTTGTAACCTGAATTATTTATCAATAAAAAAAAAAAAATCATTACTTCTATTTTTGGAAACACTGTTTTTCTAGGTCTGATTTAATTAAATGAGAAACAAACACAAATTTAACAAATAACTATGTTTTGGCATTTTAAATTCAAATTCATAACAGCTTCATTGTCTTCTGCATATGCCCTTGAGAGGACAGTTGGCACATTTTGTTGTAGTTTACAGCTAGGTTGCAATATCTGATTTAAGAAAACTCCTAATTAATCACGCCATATGAAATACATGTTAGGGGCAGTAAGTCGACTGATTTAAATTTACGTGTTTCCACCACAGTGCTGAATATCTTCCAGAACCACTACTCCACCCCCCACCCTCCTTTCGTTGAATTAGTTTTTCAGTGCACGGATTATCTTGTCTGTTCTATTGCACTGTCCATCTGAACCCTCTAATCCCAAAGATAATACAGACACTGTCTGCAAAGGTAAAAGAGGTACCCTCTTCAAGTAAAAAATGGAAAGATGCACACCGTTGAAACAGCTTCTGCTACTTCTGTCAGCACTGTGGGTCGCAGAGAATGCAGTAGGATCTTGCTCTCTAACAACACAAATAGCAGGAGATTCATAGTCAATTCAGGTCCCAGGTTTCTCAACATTGTGATGAATGATGCACCACTAGGAATATAAAAGAAACCAACATCACTAGCCTTAACAGTTCGTTACAATGAAATTCATTATATACTTTTTCATCTTCTTCTTCTTCTTGTTAGCGTTCACTGGCTGTAAACTGGCAGAAAGTTCTGGTCTTTTGTACACTTCTGGAGTTTGGTCTTTCTCCAGAAATTGAGTGTTGCATGTACTTCCATGCCACAAATCTGGCTCATTTGTACATAGACTGTTGGTTCTTCACCTCTCAGGCAGATCCACTCTGACTTCAAAGGAAACACTCTCATTAGTCGCCTTTTACGACATGCTTGTTTGGGGGGGGGTGTCTATTCCCCCCACCCCAAAAAAAAAACAGGGCCCTGGAACCCACAGAGGGGATTCATTGTATACTATACCAAGTGTGCAGTTGAAAAAGCACCCCCCAAAAAAAAAAAAACTATCATGCTGTTGGCATATCCTGCATACAATATTTGTATATACCGAATCGGCATAGAATGGGTGATGTAATCAACATCAAAAGATGTTTCCTGGTACCAATTTTAGGCTGGGTAACCTCAAAACCTAGGTCTATTTTTTAAAAAAATCCACCTCAATGAGCACTGCACACTCAAGACCTCTGGTATGACAGGCAAGAATTTAGCCACTATGCTAATACAGCTCTCACCTTTTATATAAGCTGATATAAAAAAAAACTATCAGGTATCAGGTAACTGCAGTTCCAACTTCAAAGCAAAAGGGTCACCCCATAGTTGCCAATACAAACAAAACAGAATGGTCACCACTGTCCCTTATGTAAAATTTGATACAGACTGCAGTCTCAGCAAAGCCAATAGCAACACATGCATGAAATGCATAAGGCAGAGGCCAGAAGTGGAAGCAGCAGTTATGGCAGATTAAACACAAAAAGCACCACCTGTTATCTGATAACAGGAATCTCTCCGTTTTCTGAAGTTGCAATTCTCAACAAAAACCACACTAGGCACAGTCAAAAGAATCCCAAATTAAACCTACAGTTCATGGTGGGCACCATCCAACTAATTAGCTGAAAGATGGAACTATATACTTTCAGTCTGCATATGGAGGAAAATGCAACATCTAACTATCATTTCAAGCAACAACAAAAAAAAAAACATCCAGACTAAAAACAGTGAGCCCATCTAACCATAATATTGACCGGAAGTGTTAATACAGTGCTGATAAAAACTAGAAAGTCGTCAGCTTTTAAAATGTGTATTAAATTGTTTCTTCTTTATTTTGTAAATTTTTTTTTTTGCACAGCAAGGCATAAGAGTTTAAACAGATGATAGGTAACCCAGCTAGGGCGCGCTCAGTTGATTGGAATGCTATGATGCTGTGAGGTCTTCGGCTGTCAGTGACTCTTTCAATCCATCATCTATCATTTTCTGCCTCTTGGTTTTTCCATATGCATGCTGTATGTTCTCTCTGCATGCATTGTTAGATTCATCCTAAGTAGGTGGCAAAACCATTTCAGCCTGTTTCTCAATTAATTTACTGATGGTTATTGTTCCACTAATTCTTCTAATGTTTTTATTTCTCATACAACCTATTCTTATTTACACAAATTATTGTCATTTAGGTGAAACATGCAAATTCATTAAAATTGGTGACAAATAGCTTGTGGAACAGAAGTCTTGGTAAAAATAAAATATAATTTAAGGATATGTTTACAAAAATGAATTACCTCTGTGGTAATGGTGAATCCTCTGGCATACAAAGTGACAAAGAATCATGATTGAGCTGAACAAGAATCCTGGGTCGCTCAGGAGACGGATACGGAACATGGTACATAAAATGGGAAATGTGCCGTTCTATAGGAACTGTGTGAGGGCCAGTGATGGAAACTTTGTACAAATGTGACAAGAACTTCTTGAAGGCATCGAAGAAAGGCCAGTGAGACAGCAAAGAAATGGATTTCCGTATGTGCACAGTTTTTAATATGCGATACTGCTCCCTGATGTGCTTGTTTTTAAGGCCCAAGGATCGCAACTGCATGTCTGTTAAGTCCTCTTCTTTGTATTCTTCATAGAAACTAACAGCTGCACCGTAAACCTGTGAAGGAGAAATAAGAAATGTACATCAAGTAACTGGAGTCGCTGGGGTGTAGCCGATAGATGCTCACCTGTGGATCGGAAGTTCAGATCCTGATGGAACCAGATTTTTTTTAAAAATTACCCTGGCTCCCAAGTCAACCCAGCCTTGAGTGGGTACCAGGTGCAGTCCTGGGAAGTAAAGGCTGCTGGCGTGATGCTTATTACATCACCCACTAAGTGCCGATTGGTCAATAAAATATAGGTCTAGTCCTATGTGCCCAATATGCCTAAAGAAGTGGAAAAGGTCCTTCACTTTATTTTCAAGTAACTACATAAAACAATGTCATTTGAATATTAGCTAACAAATATTGTTTATATATATATATATTCTTCAAGAGATGACTAATAAGGGTAGAACAGGGAGGGCACTGAAAAGACAGCAAAAATAGGAAGGTTAGACTGAGGGACTTCAGTATATTGGAAGATAAAAGGGGGAGCAAATGGATAGAAGATAGGATGATCTTTTCAGCCACAAAAATTAACACTCCTTGGGCAACTAAAACCATTGAACATTCTTATCAGATGTAAAACACGTTTTCAAGGAAGTCACGGAGGTGTACTGTCTAGATGCCCTGCTCCTGGCCTGAATCTCTAGGGTTCAAATCTACATTGTGGCAGATTTGTTTTTCGAAATTGGCCTTGGCTTCCAGGCTGACCAAGCTTAAAATGGGTACAAGGTAATGTCATCGTTTTTATTGCCCTGTAACACTGTGTTTTGTTGGGTCACCAGTTGCTGTTGAATGACAGAGCAGCTCCCTCCGTCAGGTAATGTACTAGGAAGTGGTGTGATGCCGACTACATCACCCATCGATTGCTGACTGGTCAAAATAAATATAGGTCAAGTAGTATGTGCCTTTCAAAAAATGATCTAGGCTTCCAGGTCCACCCAGCCTTGAGTGGGTACCAGGTACAAGTCCTGGGAAGTAAAGATAGCTGGCAGGATGCTCCCCACATCACCCACCAAGTGTGCTGATGGGCCAATAAAATACAGGTCTAGTCCTATATATCCAATACACCTTAAGGCATGGAAAAGGGTACTTTACTTTTTTGTTTGTTTACTATATGCCCGATACATCAGAGACATAAGAAAGGTCCTTTACCTCTTCTTTTTTTTGTAAATAACATTTACATGTATTTAAAGAGAACATTTATTAGAACTGTTAAAATTCATTCATTTGTTATTTGAGAGAACAAAAAATCATGATGGTGTACTGTTTAGTAGACTTACCTGCCGACACAGTACAGCTGGCCAAAAGATGTAAAACAGCAAGTGAAGAAGAAGAATTACAAAATTGACCACAATTATGAGGCTTAAGTGATATGAATGCATCAATCTTAAGTTTAAACCCTGAATTGTTTAGAAGATATACAAACAACACTAATGACAATGCTATCAGCTTAGGGGGAAAAAAAAACCACATTTACTACCTTCTCTCCGCCAGCTCCTGTAAGAATAAATGTTGAAAAGTTAGGAAGAGGGTGCTGAGCTTCTGCTGACCAACATTCAATAGTGGCTCCCATTGGAAGACAAAACATGGGCACAGACTCAGGAAGAGGGAAATCCTCATAATCCTCAGCAGGGTAGCGCCCAAGGATAGCTAGAAAAAAAAAAAAACACAATTATTTATCTGAGAAAACAAACGCTATCTGCTCCTTTTCCACACACAAACAAAAAAGAAACAAACTAAAAATATAAACATAAAAAAAATTTAAAAACACACACACACACACACACACAATATGCAGGTTTAAATTATTAGGTTTAAAACAAATAAATAAAATACTTGGAAAACAATGACTTAAGCATGAATAAGAAACGTACATCTTATTATATTCTTAGTGTATTTCTTTACAACAACAAAAATATTTTTTACATAGGCTTTTAATCCAAATGAAACAGAAAATGTCTTCTTATACTCCTTGTTGTGCGGCACTAGTAATTACGTATGTCTACAACAGGGCTATTCAACTAATTTACCCAGGGGCCACAATTTTGAACATGGGAATCATCACAGGTCAGAAGCCCGAGCCTCAGCATAAAAAGATAATTAATAAAATACAACTGACAATGATCCACAGGCCGCTTGCTGGGCCTCCGCCGGACAGATCTGCCCCTCTGGTTGCGGGTTAAATATCTACAGACTTCTGTCAATCAAGAAAATATGTACACATTCATATACACAGCATCAAAAAAATTACCTTGATAGGAAACAAATGGAAGATAAAAATAACCACTCTTTTCAGTGGTTAAAAAAAATAATGTGTTTGCATCTGCTACATAAGTAAACAAGGTTTCTAAATGCTAATTATAAGTCAGGGTATACCTGTCAGCACATACAAAGACAGCAAATAAAACGGTCTGCCCACTAAAGGAGAATGTGATACACCAAAATTGGAAATGGATGTTGATCATGAGGTAGACAGAGAACAATATAGAATGATAACATCAGAAAAACTCTACAACAGTACAAGGTGTCTAAAGTCAAGGGGGCCAGAAGAGCAAGAAGCAGAACTTTATATCTCCTTCGAAACTTGAAGTGATAAAAGAGAAAGTTACGAAGAATATATTTGAGAGCAAGTTGTAAAAATAAAAAATCCTAGACTGAAAACATGTAAGAAGAAACAAGTTACAGAACTGAAATACTCAAAGTGTTTTTGTTGCTGAAAAAATAAAGACGTTAAAAACCTTGACTTTGATTATATCCAAATTGGATTCTGATGACTCACAGATGAGTTACAAGACAAATGAAGAAGACTATCCAATATGTAATTCACGCCACATATGACAATCTTCCATGATTAAGGACAATCATTATTTAAAATTTTCTAGCATAACAGACTCAACACTTTTTTCGTAAAACAGACATAATGCATTTCATAAGCAGACACTGCCAAAAGATGGGAGCCAATAACATGAACACTCTTAGGAGCTGAATCAAAATGACATCTGTCACCTAAATTAATTAACATTGTTAGAAAGTAACAATTCTGCATGAAGTCTGGCCAGAAAAGATGAATACACCAAGCACAAAGTAGGCTCATCGGACAACACATGTGGCACAATTAGTCGCTGTATGTAGATATTTTCTTATGGATCAAATCAGAGAACCTATAAATGTGTCCAGGAGGAAATAAATATAATTCACAGTTAACAGAACAGAACCTTGTACTCACAAGCTTTATATGCTAAGACATCAGTTTTAACCATGGCTTTCTTGTAGCAAAGGTAAACATCTGATCCAAGCTGGAGGGGCAATAAAATAAGCAAGACTAGTTACATGTTAAACCAAAAATTTTTTTTTTTTTTTTCTCTTTGTTTCTCTCTGTGCAAACACAAGTACCCATGCAATGACACATATAAGCATAAGCACAACAGCATGGTTATCTTTTGTAGAGATCAATTTCATAATATGAGAAAGAATGGTCACCATCATAAAAATATCAATCTACTCAAATTTGATTTAATATCCAGAAATTGTAAGGACAAAGAACATTATTTGTAGGTGACAGTGCATTAAAAAAAAAGGCCAATTTACATAATGAAAATGATTTACAATTGACAGCTTGATTTACAAACAAATTAGACAAATAGCTTACCATGCCTTTGTTTAAATTTTTCAAAATTTTCAGAAATGTCAGTGGCGGTTCTTCCCCCTGAAAGTATTCAATGATTCATTACTTTAACAGACTGGAACATGAACATTGCTTATAACTATGAAAAAAAAAACCCAGAACAGCAAGGAATGTTAAACTGTAGCCAACCATTATCATCAAGTGTCTGGGTGGGTGATCATGCCTTTTCACAACCTGCGATCTCCAAGAGCATGTATCAGTTAATTTACTGCAAACCCCCTTAATGCTAAGACAAAAGGCTGTCAAAATTCTTCTTTGATCCCCTTTCTGTGTGTCTCTTTCCATAAATATTTTCCGTGATCACAAGTTCCAGTTTCCTTCTTCTTACAATATGACCCAAAAATTATGAGTGTCTCTTTCTGATATTTTTCATAAGTTGTCACCTTTTACAAAACAGCAGGGTTGCTTTTTTTGCTGTTGTTATTTTTTTGCTTTCTGTCCAATGAATTTCCGGATTCTTTTGTAAAACCACATCTCTGAGGTTTCAAGAAATTGTTTGCGTTTTTTATAAACTGTCCAGGATTCACAGCCCTACGTTGAAACTGGCTCTTTACAGCATGTGATAATTTTCTGACCTCCAATGATACAGGTTTATTGCCTTTAATGTTCTTCATTTTACAAAATGCAGTATTTCACTGTCCTATTCTATTTTTTATCTCTGTCTCTGTGATACATCTTCCATCTAATGTTATCCAAGTCCAACAGCAAGGATGTTAAACTGTAGAAGAGCATGGGTGTTAAACTGTAGAACAGCAAGGATGTTAAACTGTAGAACAGCAAGGATGTTAAACCGTAGAACAGAAAGGATTGTTAAACTACACAACAGCAAGAAATGTTAAACTGAAAGGCAGCAAGAAATGTAAACTGTAGAATGGTAAGGAATGTTAAACTGTAGAACAGCAAGGATGTTAAACTGTAGAACCCCCATCCCCCCCTCCGTGTGGGTTCCGGGGCCCTTTTGTGGGGAAAACAAAAATAGACCCAGTGCCTCCCCAAAAGCATGTCGTAAGAGTCGACTAACTGGGGAGCTTCCTTTGAAGTCGGAGTGCATCTGCCTGAGAGGCAAGGAACCAGCAGTCTGCATTCAATTGAATCAGATCTGTAAAACTGATGCATATGCAACACTCAGGTTCTGGAGCAGGACTGCAGTCCAGAAGTGGACGAACAACCAGAACTTTACGCTAGAGTGTACAGCGGGTGAACGCGAAGAAGAAGAAAAAGAAACTGTAGAACAGCAAGGAATTCTAAACTGTAAAATAGAAAAGAATGGGAATGGTAAACTGCAGAACAGTAAGGAAATTTAAACTGAAATGCTAAAGAATGTTAAACTGTAAAACAGCAAGGAATATTAAACTGCAGAACAAAAACATCAAACATTGTCAGGCCACATATGCACTTACCCTGTTGCCCAAAATGACGCATATATCTACCACAACCAGAGTGTCACTTGGTGCCGATTTTTCTGCTCTCCTAAATGTAATATAAGTGCGGCTGCTGCTGCTGTTGTTCACGTTGGCTGGATGACCTTGCATGGTGGTATGAACAACTTCACACCCTTCCATGACACGCTCTTTTCCTTCATAGAGTATTCTGAATTTTTGGGAAGGCATAAAATACTTAGGTATGCATTCCCTTTAGGCTTTTTAATAGGGTTGCATCCACATCATGTAGCAAGTACCCTATTTTTCCGTGTATAAGACACCTCTATGTATAAGACAACCCCTTATTTTTTTTGTATTTTAAAAAAAATATTTTTTTTTAAATAAAGATTAGGAAACAAATATTTTAAACGCATTCTGTGTATAAGACGACCCACAAATTTTAAAATGAAAAAAATTTGGGAAAACATATCGCACTCATCGCGGCCTGCTGGAAATCCATTTAGACACCTGTTAACTTTTCCTTCACGTGAACTTTCATGGCCAAGGTGTTGTTGACATCCTGCATTCACCATCACACTAGTCAACCCCTGCCTCTTCTTCCAGAAACCAAACAGTCCATTACTGTTCTTTCCAAATCACTATGGCATTTAATATGGCCAATGTATTTTAGTTTATGTGCGAGTCTATTAACAAGATCTGTATCCCTGACTCCAACGTATTATGACTCCAACGTGCTGGGCTCGGTCCCAGCCACAGGTGATTTCGAAGCAGATGGCTTTGCGTTGGTTTCAACAGCGGTATCGAGAGCTGACCACTTAGAAAGCAAAGTACTGAAAGTAAAATTGCCTAGGAAATCACAAACAGCCAAAAAATGCTGGGGTTAGTTCTGCAACGTTCTGTAAAGGTATGTAACTAACTTTAAATTAAAACAATGAGGTACCTAGGTCTATAAAGGAAACATTACTATCCTAGACTTCATTTTAGGCTGTCTGTATGTGCTGGACTGAATCATGACTTGGTTACACTCTAAATTAGGGTTGCTATATTTTGTAAAATAGAAAAATATAGTAATGACATGTTTGTTTATAACATTTTTTGCTACTAATAGGTTATAAAATATACATAATGAACATACTAAATTTACTCTATAAGAATACAATTTGGGGGGGGGAGGGGGGGGGGGGGGGGGGGGGGGGGAAACAACAATGGGGGAATCCAAAAAACTGAGTATCTATGAAACCTACTCTAAAAGCTTTCCTGCAGCTATAAAATGTCAGTACTAGCCTTACACAACTCACTGATTTCTTACACTGGGGATGGTAGGGGGTGCACCTTACCAGTCCCTATAGAGAAGAAGCTTTTGTACTAGGTAAAGAGAAAACTCTATACTAAACTCACTCCAAGGGAAAGACTAAGAGATAAATAAATGGACGGCTTAATCGAATGGCATAGTTGGCACTTTCCATCTTTCCAGATGATACTGTGCTATAGGGAGGCATGGGAATCACAGCCCATGGCAATGGGCGATTAAGACCGAAGGATGAAGTACCACCAATACCTGGGCAGTATTATAAAAACCATGTATCATCCACGCAGCATGGTCCCTTCTTGGTCTGCCTTATTTACTCCAAAGAAAAGGTAACACCACTATGTTTAGAATAAACTTGTTTCAGAAGCAACTAGATCACAAAGGCAGTACTCTGTCAACCTGTGGGATGTATTTCTCCTAAATCAGCTGCTAATCAAGGCTAAAGACCCTTCTACCTGCCATAACACTGTTTAAAGTCGCATTTACTCTTCCTATGATATGACTAGTGTCTTACCTAATGTGCTCTAGTTGGGAGCAGTAGACAGTAAGAAAGTCAAAATTGTAGAGGTCAAATGCTAAAAAGTTTAAACAGCCACAAATTTTGGAATCTACTATAATAATGGTGATATCAATGATCACATGTAAAATTAAACAGTAGAACCTCACTGACATATAATATAAAGCATAGAAAATCAAGCCTGTGTTTAAAAAAAAAAAATTCATGCTGCTGAGGTTTACTGTATTTTTAAGAATGTCAGTTACAATTTATACTAACAGTTAATATTTATATTACCCAAGGTCTTTGAGGGGTGGTTTGTCTCTTCCCCTTTTGTAGCATATAAACATGTCAGGGCAACGTATACTTCCATGATTGAGATTGGCAGGAAATCCTGTCGGTGTTAACTCAATACACTCATACCCTTTTGGTATCTTCTCTCCTAAAGTTCTGTAGAGACAAACAAACATTACTGCTAGTAACTTAACTTTGTGACTAAAGTAAAGTAAAGGACCCTTTTTCATGCCTTCAGATGTACTGGGTATAAAATGCTTGACTTTTATTTCACAGACCAATCAGCACTCGGATGGTGGTGAGGTCAACGTCACGCCGGCCGTCTTTACTTTCCAGGAGTTCACTTGGTGCCCTTTATGGCTGGGTCTCCCAAAGTCATTTTTGAAAACACCTGTTTCTATTTGAATCTGAACCCACTGCCTTCGGATCCACAGCTGCTGTTCCATTTGTGACTAAGGCACAGAAAATAATTTTATTGTAAATATAAATAAAAGTTATACTGTTCATACAGTTATACATATTTCCTATTCTGTCATGCTAAGTGTCCCGATGCAACAATGTTTAAGGTGTCTAGAATGCTGAAGAAGACTGCCCATTTGTGTGATCACTGAAGTCCCGGCCTGCAGGCTGTGCCTGTTATCTCCAAAGGGTGCAGCTCATTGTGAGTAATGTGCAGGAAGTGACGATTCCTTGAGACAGCCCAGGACCAGAGCGTCATGTGTAAGCTCTGCGTTTATGAAAACCTTCTTGAATGGCCCATAATCTGTCCATGCCTTCCCTTAAGGACTGATCAGTCTAGATGCGGATGCCCTGGATGGGTTCTCCAGTAGGCAACACCTGTAGATAAAGGGACATAAGTGGACACCACCCATAAGCTACATCACATCCCATGAAACCACCCAGGAAGGCTAACTCAGTGATTAAATGCCAGATGAAATTGAATGTCTTCCCAAAAGTGCAAATATTGCAGCTATGCTGTAATAAGTAACCTAATACAGACGCCACAGGAGACATTTTTAGGGAAGTGTAGTGTTCAAATGGCTACCTGATCCCTTAGAATTTTTAGTAGTCCCCATGTGGGAGGCAATTTTTGTTATTTGGAGCCCCACCCTGGCTTTTGCCGGGGGGCCCTGAATATAGCCAGGCCATAAATATGGCCTAACGGCTGAAAGGGGCTTCTATGACCTCTTCACGAATGATCCTCATCCACATGCTGTCACTTTGTGTCACCGGGTGTTTATCGTTTGTGTGATGTCCTGGTGGGATACATCAAGAGAGAGAGAGAGAGAGAGAGAGAGAGAGAGAGAGAGAGAGAGAGAGAGAGAGAGAGAGAGAGAGAGAGAGAGAGAGAGAGAGAGAGAGAGAGAGAGAGAGAGAAGAGAGATTCCTTAGAAAACGTTATCTCTATATATCTCTTTACTGGCTGTGTTAATTTTGTTTTTGGCTTTACTCAGTAACCTCAAGTCTATTATGATTGGATATTACTGCTGCAGGCACTTGTATGCAGTGATATATATCTCCACCCGAGGTCAGATACCAATCTTTTCAATCTGTCCAAGCTTCATGGACTAAGGTGCAAACAAGATGCCTCAGCAATTTTCTATTTGTGGATGATGCAGCCATTACTGCACATACTGAAAATGACCTGCAGATTCTCAAAACTGGCTTTGCAAATGCATGCAAAGAATTTGGACTCACCATCAGTCTCAACAAAACAGAAGTGATGGAGATGAATGTCTCCCACCCTATTTATACAATATACATGCACAAAGCATTATGAGAAATGTAAAAAAAAAAAAAATGGATCATACATGTGACAGTTATGTTTTGCCATAACTGGCAGCAAACCCTTTTCTGGAACTTCTTTGTGCAGAAGTAAAAATCAAAATCTGTTTATGAATTTAAAGAAAAAAAAAAATGTCCCCAGACAAAACTGCCTGTTACCAAAAAAATACTAATGAGAAATTTAATAAATGTCACAAACTATGAATATCTAGGCTCAATAACAAACAGCAAGGAGACAGTTCAACAGAGATCACAAGGAGGATGGCCCCATCAATGCAAAAATCAAACAGCATTAAAAGTCTATGGTTAGGTACCAGCAAAGAAATTAGTGACATGCATCTTTGCTGTAGCAACATATGATTGTGAGTCATGTACTATCTTATATCCAATCAAAAGTATGTTTAGCTATTAAAATGATAAAGTCTCCCAGCACTGAATTAACAATGAATAATTCCATTTCTTTAGAAAATAAGAAAAACCTTGATTCAATTATAAAAATTCTTACTCTGCAATAACATACTTTATTCTACTGAACACCAGGCGAGTTAAATGAAGCCTAAGGAAGAAACACTACACCAACCTGTTAATAACAGTAATATCTGTAATAGGATCCTGGCGGAAGCTTGGCTTTGTGATGGCTTCATTAGAAAATTCTTCGAGAGGTAGCTGTTGGTCTTTATCTAGGCCTGCTACCACAAAGTAGTCAGCCACACGACGGTCATCCATTAAACTAGGAAATAAAAATTATTGCATCTAATATTAGCAATGTGCATGCTACACAATATAAAGGAATTACATCTAAAGTTCATAGTGTGAAAGACAATGTATTTGGAAGACAGAATTACGTTGTTAAGGTATTACTGCTGGCAATTATTTTTAACTTTTCTAGATCAGTGGTTCTCAACCTTCCGAATGCTGTGATCCTTTAATAAAGTACCTTCATGTTGTGGCGACCCCAAAACTATTATTTTCCTTCATAATTTCAATGAATATGTGTTTTTCTATGACCTTAAGCAACCCCTGTGAAAGGGTCAGTCGACACAAAAAATGGGTCGTAACCGGCAGGTTGAGAACCGCTGTTCTAGATGATAGTGTTATACTGTGCTATAAAGTGGCTGGGGAATCACAGCCCATGGTGATCTAATTAATTGGGGCCAGGAATGAAGTTCCTTCTCTCCACAGCACAAATCCTGGGCAGCATGGTAGAGATCATGTGCTGCCCATGTGGCATCATCACTTCCTCAGTCTGGTTTGTTTACTCCAAAGAAAAGGTAACATCAATATACTTGGAACACAGCAGGCTGCAGAAGTTGCTATGAGGGCTGCTCCAAAATTGACCTCTGACCTCTGGAGAAAAAAACTTTGCTATAGCGATACTGTTAATTACTTGCATTATTCAGTAGCTTTTAAGCTCACTACAGTCAGTGTTCGAAATCGGGCGGTTCCCAGGATTTACCCAGCCTCTAGGAAATGGGTACCAGAGTGATACTCTGGGGTAAATGGAGGAACGTCTATGTAGCTACAGAGTTACGTGCGAACAGCGACACAGGCGGACAGTGTCTTATCAGCTGTCCGTACTGGTGGCAGAGCACTAATGGTTTATAACCGTGTGCAATGAAGCTGGTTCACATCTCCCGACTTTACCTTTTTAAGCTCACTAAAGCTCAACAGTTCACGAACACACACAAATGGACGCCAGCTATGAAATTTATAGGGTCTATTCTGTCAATTCTGCTTTCTTTAAGCAGAAGGTCAAAATGCCACAGAGACGCATCTTCGATTGTGTCATGTGTATGGTGATGTTTAGAGTGACAGTTCTGTGAGGGATTACTGAGCGAAGATGTGCATTATGAGGTTGGACAAGGGCGACATTAATGTGTGACAGATGGGCTCATTTAAAAAGTCAACCATCTCATAGTGAAAAAATGGACCAAGTGAGCTGAACCTTAGTGAACACAGGGAAAAGGACTTAAAGGTTACAGGACAGGCAGTTTCGTAGGTATGTATTGGACAGGTATGTACAATAGTTTGGGTGTGCCTTAGCATACAGTGTTATTGTGACATTTTCTCAAACAATATTTCTTAATAGCAGTTATTGTATGACAGTCGCCAGTATACAATATCTGTACAATCTGTTAGATTGAAAGTTTTCTGCACACATAGAAAAATTAATAGATACAAATTTTTTTTTAAAAGAGATAATTTTCTGTGCCTTCAGGCATACTGGGCATAAACAGTTAGATCTATATTTTAAAAAGCAGTCAACATCACATGCTTGCCACCTTTATTTACCATGACTTTACCTGGGACCCATTTAAGGCTGGATATGCCTGAGAGCCAAGAGCATTTAAAAATAAAACAAAAAATAAAACTCTATCAGGACCTGAACCCATGACCTTTGAATTTGCAGGCAAGCGTCTAGCTACTACAAAATGGTGGCTCCCAGATATATTATATGTGTTATATTACTGTCAAGCCCTGTCTTTCAGGGCTGTCACCTTAGGTGAGGTATCACAGTGATTAAAAAAAAAACCTTGACATCGATGCTAGTTTACAAAATGTCTGTTCGCTCCATGTTGAGAAATTTCTATACAGTAAGCGTAAGCAAGGCTTTTTTTTCTAGAAGAAAAGGTGCTGGTACTCAAAGGGCCTAATAAGAAATGCAGGTATTCACCACAAAATGCTTATTATTGTAGCCCTGAAAAACAAATATGACTTTCAAAAGTACTAGTACTGAGTGTCATTGTATACTCCCTTTAAAACAAATGCTGTAAGCCCAATTTCTTTACACATTTATAAAGCATAAACATGTTAAATATATTCATTTAGTCTAATTTCACTGTTCACTAAACTGATGTTATTTGAGTTTGTGGCAGACAGTTATCAGTCCAAATATTATTATTTGATCTAAAGATAACAACCCCCTTTGCTTAACAATTTTTTTTTTAGATCTGTCTGTTTCCAACACACAACATCTGTGTTGATCGAATTTGGGCTTTGTCCTCAAATTCTTTGTAGGACTAAATTGGTGTATTCTGTTACAGAATAATATAAAAAATATACTTTTAGAATATGCACACAATCTACCCTGACTACAGAATACTTGATAACCGTTTTGTGGTAGTAACATTGCTGTGTGGAAATGGACGAGATTACTCTGATCTGCATCATCTGCAAATGCAAATCTGGAGGGGGACATACTTGAAAAAAAAAAAAAGCAAAATTTTCAAAGACTCACTAGTAAACTGTAACGCTCACATCGGTGCTGCACAAGGAAAAACCACCAAAAAAAAAAAAAAAAAACATTTAATCTGCAACTACCTAAAATAGAAACGCAACCAGACACGGACGGGTCAGCACTCCCTGCTCTGTTTATTGTTTACAAAGTGCAGCTCCACTTAAAAAAGCAGTCGTGGATCAAAATTGTATTTGCAGATATAGTGACCCAAAAAGAGACTTGTGTGTTCTCGTAAATGTAATCTGACAGAATTCAAAGCCCTTTACCGAGTCTAAGGCCTTTGTACTATTATTATGTAATAATTTGTCGACTGTCATCGTAACGGTCACGCAAGTCGTGAAGTCACTGTGAAGAGACTGCTATGAAAAGTCATAAAGCACACATATTGAATAAGCGTACAAATTGACCATCAATTCTTATTTACTACCTTTGAAAGTTTATATGTGATGTAAATGCTCAAATATCGCAGGCAGACTGCAGTTAGCATTAACAGAACATTCCAAAATCAAGTACTTCAACCATTTACTGTTAAGTTCTCCATTTTTTCAGTGTTTGTTGCACAGTTGCAGACGAATTAATTGCTGACTTTTTAGGCATCTGTGTATGAAACACGTTTATACATATCATGTTTATCATACAACTTACAATTAAATTTACATAATTTACTTCATGTTTACAATACTAAAGAATTATACCACGAACTCACTTAAAATGTACACATTATAAGTAAATCTATTAAACCACAGTAATACAAAATATTCGATACTTGTTTAGACGGAAAAATTGACAGTGCCAATTGGCATGCTAACAATGATTCAATAACGTTCAAATTTCAGTGAAACAGCTTGAGTATATTTATCCGAACGAATAAGAGAGGCACAAAATAAGTTCCAGATTAGCTTCTGTATTTTTCTTTATTTAGGACAAAACTGGGCACAAGTTCACAATTTACTTTGATGGAATCAGTCATAATACACAAAGCTGGTAACCGTAGCTTGCGTCTCTCTCTCTTTTTTTTTTTTTTACGTATGTAACAGCGTTTAGGGATTTACAATAGGAACAACAGGAGAAAAAAAATATGCAGACACTGAACGGCAGGCAGAAACAGAAGCAGAAAACCAGACAGATTAAATAAAATCTGAAACCCATTTCCAACGGCTTCGGGTGGAAAATCGCACTAGAAGAATTGCCTGCATCCGGGAAAGGGTGGGAAAGTGGGGTGAGAGGGCAAAATGCGTCCTTAAAAAGTAATGTTGATAGGGCAGACTAGACCCTTAGCCTTAATTGACAGCTGGTCCCCGACAGGTGGACACATCGTACAGCTCTTCTGATCCAGCAGCTTCTGCAGTATGCGTTGTGTCAGAATATCGTGTTACCTTTCCGACAGAGTAAACAAGGCAGGCCGAGAGGGATAACACTGCTTGAGAAACACAGTCTCTTAATTAGATCCCAGGATTTGCGCCATGGAGAGGAAAAACCCCATCCCTGGCCTTAACTGGCTTTGATTCCCGTATCTCTGTAACAAAATATGACACTGCCATAGTCGTCTGGAAAGACGGAAAGGTAACAATGAACACTGATACATTGGTATTCACCATGTAATCTGTAAAGGGCTGTACGTCTCACCGAAATATTCCATTATGTTATTCGTGAATGGGAAGCTGACTAGATTCTACTTCTCGTTTTTGTTGTCGTTATTGCTTTCTCCGAAGAAATGCTGTTCAACTAGCAGCACCATCGTCTTTAAGTGTCATGATGATAAAAACGAAGACGGTTATGGCTCGCTATCTGGCGCGATCACACAAATCAGGTTTGTGCTCTTGTCCCATGTTAACAAGGGTTTCCGTTATGCTATGATATTACAGTCGACTTCGTTGCACATTGGGCATTCTCTTGCTTGTTCAGACCTTTAATACAGCAGTCACCCCAAGACACATCTACTGTTTCCATAAGATGTTCATTGTGATTTCTTCTGTCTTGTTCTCTATCTTGAATAGAACGATTTCACCGGGCTTTACTCCCAGGTCACGTAATCAGGTTAGGGTCTGAAACTCATTGTTCACCACAAGTCGAGCCCGTACAGTGTTGATGATACCAGCTTTGTTCATACTTCTGCGAACATGCAATAATACATTACTTGCCAGTCAGTTCGTTCGTTCAATACCCATTACTTCGGCATGCCCAGATGTATAGATCCCGGTAAGAGAGGTAACGTTCGACCTCCTAATGCTGTCTACCAGTTTTGAGAGGAGGCTGCATATTGCGATGTTCTGACGCATGTTCATGGAATCTGATATGATACTACGTATGTAGCTGCTTGTTCGGCTACCCATGCGGGCACTCTGGGGCGAATGTTATTTCCATGGTCAGTCTTGACGTAGTTACCTTATAAGTGTCATTATCTTTCCCTTTCCCCCATCATTCACGCTGTGTATGCCAGTGTTTACCTTGACACATGCTTCGGTGAGTCTGTGTAGGTGACGATGTC